GTAGATATTTCCCATTTTCTATAATACAAATTTCCCGTTTTCTATGATAATCTACTTCGGAAAATTAGGTAATATTTCCCAAAAAGTCGATAATCTACTTCCCCTAAAAATCAATAATCTACTTTCCCGAAAAGTAGATAATCTACTTTTCGGGAAAGTAGATAACCAACTTTCCCAGCAAGTAGATATTTCCCATTTTCTGTGATACAAATTTCCCGTTTTCTATGATAATCTACTAAGGAAAATTAGGTAATATTTCCCAAAAAGTCGATAATCTACTTCCCCTAAAAATCGATAATCTACTTTCCCGAAAAGTAGATAATCTACTTTTCGGGAAAGTAGATAACCAACTTTCCCAGCAAGTAGATATTTCCCATTTTCCATAATACAAATTTCCCGTTTTCTATGATAATCTACTTCGGAAAATTAGGTAATATTTCCCAAAAAGTCGATAATCTACTTCCCCTAAAAATCAATAATCTACTTTCTCGAAAAGTAGATAATCTACTTTTCGGGAAAGTAGATAACCAACTTTCCCGGAAAGTAGATATTTCCCATTTTCTATAATACAAATTTCCCGTTTTCTATGATAATCTACTTCGGAAAATTAGGTAATATTTCCCAAAAAGTCGATAATCTACTTCCCCTAAAAATCAGTAATCTACTTTCCCGAAAAGTAGATAATCTACTTTTCGGGAAAGTAGATAACCAACTTTCCCGGAAAGTAGATATTTCCCATTTTCTATAATACAAATTTCCTGTTTTCTATGATAAGTAGATAACCAACTTTCCCAGCAAGTAGATATATCACATTTTCTGTGATACAAATTTCCCGTTTTCTATGATAATCTACTTCGGAAAATTAGGTAATATTTCCCCAAAAGTTGATTATCTACTTTCCCGAAAAGTCCAGTGGATAAGCGTTTTACTTGCCACTCATTCAGGCCCGAGGTCGAGTCCCAGTATTTCTCTCTTCTTTTCCCTTTTTCTGTTTTTAGTTTTTAGTTTTTTCGTCATGGGACACTATTTTAGCTGTATTATATCCTAAAAGTTAATAAAAAGTGAAATTGTGCCATAAATTTGACGTTTTTAGGTATTTTTGCGTATATTCATGTTCGAAGCTTCGAATGCTTCAATGAAGCATCAAAATGATTCAATGAAGCTTCGTGACGTCACTCTCAACCTTCATATATAAAGTCTCGACTAACTCATTTTCGCACCATTCTTCACCGACCATCACCACTCACTGGCTGCAGCTGACAAGCAGGTAAGCCCGAGCTGCCCCACAGCTCTAGTCTCCATTATATACGTGTAATGTTTTTCCCCCGACTGTCTACAGTCAAAATGGCCAAGAGAAATGGGTATTCTTTTGGGTAGTGTTTAATATACTTAATTATGGCGTAATAAATGCTGATTTAAGTAAAAAACTTGCCAGCCAGCTGTTGCACTTGCCTCCTAGGGTCGTATCCCCAAGTTTCACTGGGCTGTAAGGCCTATGGTCCCTACTTTGCAGCTTAAACAAATACATTAACATGGTTTAGTATTATATTTAGTGTTTCTCTAACGGCTAACCAGTAATTTCTTAATGTTTTAGGCAAATATACCACCAAATGAGTCATACACACGAGCCTAAACTATAAGCCGGTGGCGGGTAACGAGCATAAACTGTACATCAGTAATTACGTAATAATTAACCAGTAAGCGAGTACAATGACCAGATTGGGTTAGATTACTGTATTTATTTTTTAATTTCACATTTTCCCTCTTGCTTCGAAGCCCAACCCACTTTTGGCGGAGCCGGGTGGTCATAACTCAATAATTACGCCTTTCCCCAAACGTTCATCACCACCACCACTGTATTCCGCATTCAAAACTGCGCCGCGATGACTAGGTTTAACAATAATATAACGATTTTTTGCTGATTTAAAATACTGTATAATATTTTTTACTGGCTAGTTCTTTGCTACCCCTGGGAGGGCCCCCTGATTTCGCTGGCGTCCCTGTGATGGTTCCTGGAGCGTCGCCGACCCTGGAGGCGCCACTGACCTCGAGAGGGTCCCTGCGGGCGCCACCGCCTCTGGGAGGGTCCCTGGTGCCGCCACCGTCCCTGGGTGGGCCCTAGTGGTGCCACCACCCCTTGGGAGGGCCCCTGGAGGTGCCACCACCCCTGATAATGCCCCTGGTAGCCTCATTCATCTGGTGCTGGTGGTGGTGATGTAGCCTCAGTCATCTGGTGGTGGTCATCTGCTGGTGGTGGTGATGAAGCCTTTTGTCATCTGGTGGTGGTGGTGGTGATGTAGCCTCCTGTCATATGGTGGTGGTGGTAATGTAGCCTCAGTCATCTGGTGGTGGTGGTTATGTAGCCCCAGTCATCTGGTGTTGGTAATGTAGCCTCAGTCATCTGGTGTTGGTGGTGGTAATGTAGCCTCAGTCATCTGGTGGTGGTGGTAATGTAGCCTCAGTCATCTGGTGGTAATGTAGCCTCAGTCATCTGGTGGTAATGTAGCCTCAGTCATCTGGTGGTGGTGATGTAGCCTCCTGTCATCTGGTGGTGGTGGTGGTGATGTAGCCTCATTCACCTGGTGTTGGTGGTGGTAATGTAGCCTCAGTCATCCGGTAGTGGTGGTGGTGATGTAACCTCAGTCATCTGGTGTTGGCTGTGGTGGAGGACATGGACTGCAGCCCAGCGGATCACCCCCTAAGCGAGCCCCTTCACCTACTCGGGGACTTCTCACTTACTCCTGACCTTAACCACTTCACTCCTGCTGCCCGTCACGACCTACTGGAAACACTACGACAAGCAGTTTCTGCACTCAAGGCTACTGTCCCACGCCAGCCTTCCCATCGCCCTGAAAACATCCTTCCTGCACTACTCAACGCCGAGTATGTCTTCGTCAGGCGAGATGCTCGCTGCAACCTACTTCAACGCCCCTACAACGGACCCTTCCCGGTGTTTGTTTGGTCAGCGAAGTTCCTGACGATCATTCACTATGGCAGACACGACACCGTCAGCATTGATAGAGTGAAGCCAGCCACCTTACCCGATGGTGCCCCAGCCCAGCAAACCATGCCTGTACCGGTCTGCCCACCGAACCTGCTGCGAGAGAAGCACCACATTCCTCGCCTGTTCCTCCCGCCGCTCAACCTTCTCATATGTACAACCCTGCTTCTCCCACAGATTTTGTCACCCGACGGAATCGTTGCCCATAGCAGCCGAGTGGTTCACACCCCCGCCCGTTATGTCTCACATGTGGGATACAACCCTGCCGACAGCAAGTTGCCTGCAGCACTCGGAGAGGAGGGGGAGTATTGTAGTGGATACTCTCCCCTACAACTGCCGATTGGTCACTTGCCGTCCGCTTCCCAGCCAATCAGCGGTGAGTTCCACAAATCAGCCCTCGAACTGCGCGGTGATTGGTCAGTTGCGGCTTTCATATCAGCCAATCAGCAGCATTTCTCATCATTGCCCTTCGACTTTTGATCCGGCAGAAATAAATAAATACCCCCCTGCCTCGCTGTGAGGGCAGAACACTCCAAGCTCTTAATCAGAGACCTCCTCCTCTAAAGAAGTTCCTCCACAGCAACTTCCCAGCACCTGACTGCATTGTACATACAGTACAATACATGTAGTTAAGCTATTCTGAGTTTCCTTTCTCGCCTTCATCATGAGTGTGAGATCTCCCTTATTGTACATGTGTATGTGGCCATAACAAAGAGGACTTAGACAACTGCCACACATACGCTACGCCACAGTGGTATCTCTTCGGTATTTTTTCTGGAACCACAATGAATCATTCGTTGTTGATTAACATTTTTATACAGTAATACATTATAAAATCAAAATATCTTTAATTGTTTTAGCAAGGAAGGTTTTAGGGTGCTATCAAGTGAATCGCCTTATTGATTGCTTTTTATTATTTTTTTTTTGTGTGCCCACACTGTCTACGTGTATGCTGTACTTACATACGCCAACCTACAAAATGATTTACTAAATTAATAAAAGTTTCACAACATATATCCATAACCCCAAAAATATATACTGTACTACTGAATTAAGTAATCTATGGCAGCTACCTTTAGTAATGATGTGATTATCATGCCCTGTCGATTTGATCTTACTTTTGTCATTCTCTGCATTAGTACAGTATAGCCTGGGCCCTTAGCTGTATCTTGTGGTCAAGAAATGCCTATAATACTCTTTGGTTGTCTCAGCAAGAACATGTCTACCTCGTCAGTCTCCCCCACAGCCTAGGAGCAGACTTTATGGTAGTCATCTTTATCTTCCCGGAAAGGCTAATATATACAGTATAGGAGAGTGAGATGAAATCCCTTGGGACAGCAGGTGTCCACCATATTCAGGTCATAAGGTAATGACCCAATCCTTTCACCTGGTTACAGATCTTGTGAATCACAAAGTTGTCCAATTTGTACATGCCATTACTCAAATTCATGTTGACAGATTCGGGTATGTTTAATGAGATTAGATTCTATAATGTTCCTACTGACAGTTGAATTACAAGGTAATATTGAGGAGGCATTATCCCAGTCAATGCAATGCTTATTATATCTCATGAATCAACAGAGCATTGGATTCCTGGCCTGTCCTAACACTATTTACATTGTTTAAGTCTAATTATAAGTTCTTTTCCCGTCTGGCCTAAGTAGAACATATTACATTCCCCTATCAGCAAATGTTATTCGTGGCCATTTTGAAAACCTAATCCCCTCGAATTTGAAAGGCTTACTGTACCCGTATATTGTTCTTATGTGTAGTAGATCATTTAAGGAAACTAATAAATATAGATGGTAAAAATTAGAATGTGATTCATGGGCATTAAATATAGATACTGTAGTAGTATGTACTATTTATGGATGAAGCTCTTCAGTTTGGAACAAGTGTTTGCCACTGCAGGTAATCAAGTCCCTCACTGCAGGAAGTCAGAGGGGCCATAATTCTAAACAATTATAAAAAGTATTGATTTAATTATCAAAGCCACCAGAAATCTTGTTGTGATATATTTACGAACTCAGTATGGTTACATTTTATTACTATATATTCAAGTTAGGGAGTCATTTTCATTGATGTGGGTAAGGTGAAGACTCAAACTCTTTTCTTCTACAAAAATGTAACATAATTATCTTGAAAAGTTTTATGGCAAGATTTAAACAAAATTGCTTGCATTGTACAATATGTAAATAAAATTTACAACTAGTACTTGAGTCAGATTTTCATTTGACATTGTGTAATAGATTGTAACAAACATTTCAGAAATACATAAAGGGTGCATTGAGTGTGAATCTTTTAAAAATTCTACATAACACATATAAACAAGCTAGCTAGGCTGTATCAGAATACATAGCCAAATGTAAAAAGTATGAAAGATGCTACTGATGCCAATGTTTTGATGATAACGCTTACTTTATTTTATTTTTATTTTTTTAAACAGGTAAGCTGGGAATAAAAGGTGGGGTCCAAAGTCTGTTACAGCACATTGGCCTGGTTCCAGTCTGTATTACCTTAACTACTGTGTTCCATACTGCCAGTACTAAATAAGATCAACGTAACTTTGAGACCGAGCTAACACAAACCTGACTGCCTGCGGTCCACCTTCACAAGAAGAGTCCGTTTTCATTTACATCTGGAACATGTGGGTGAGTACAGTATTGTATAGTTCTTTGCCCATGAAAATAACAAGTTTTATATGTAGGGACAGTAGGAACTAAAATGGAGACAGTTAAAGAGGATGGCACACATAGGCTTGAGCAAGTTGAACTGAAAATGGCGAGATTAATGTCCAAGGTAACGTTGAGAGAAAACCGCTGAGTATTGGCGAGGGTGGCCGAGATGGTTCGGGCATATGGAGATCAACTGGGTCAAAAGATGCAGAAGCTTGAATGTGGAATGGAGGCGTGCTAGAGGTGAACCAAGAAAGACGAGGGGGAGGGAATTATACGAACCAACCTAGGAGAAGCTGAAAGAAACCATGCATTTGGATAATCATGGCTAACCCACACAAGTGTGAAATATGTCTGTATAATTGTGATATGATGAGAAATGTATTCAAAGGGTGTATGTATAATGGAATCACAGAGCCAACATTATTATGTGTGTGAACCATGTACTGTACTTTTTATGTAAAAGAAAGGAGCATATTATAAGCAACGGACATGACATGCTAGAGATTTATCAGTAGAGAATAAGAAACAAAATATTGAAGTATTTATCAAGTTTCAGTCCGTAACTTTCCACACACACATTTCTTAAGTATTAATGGCATTCATCCTTAAAAATATTTGAAAAAACTCACTATCAGTTTCCTTGTTACAAACTGAACCTAGGCTTCAGTTGGGAAGGTCAAGTGAACAGACTACGTACCGGTAGGTCAATTTCAATAAGATTGTTTACAAGTAATTTTACAAAATTGCTGAGAAGTTGCCCCATTTCTGGGCCATTCTTACGTAAAAAGATGACTAACTTTAACACTGATTAGTCTTCCGTTGTACTAAAATTAAATTCTTAAAATTAGTTTTCTTGTGAGTCCATCACACATTACCAAACTCATAGCTTATTGGATTGGAAGTCCAGAACATAACTTTACCACATACAGTACTCTACTGGATATTTGGTAAAAGATAGATAAATTATTTTAAAAACAAAATATAGTGACATACCAGCATTTTATTAATATCATTCTAGAAACACATTTTTTTACAAAATTATAATAAAATAAAATCTTTTCGCAATCAATTATGTCTTTTAGTAATTAAGTAATAGCATAAAAAATTACAGCAAACATTAATCTGGCATAATTACGTATAAAAAGTGACAAAAAAATTAAATACTGCATTGTTCCATCATTCAGTACTGCCATACAGTATACAGCTCCTCCCCGACTTACGACCTACTCGACTTACGACTGCCTCAGTCATACCATAATTTTGTAAAATTACGTATTTTCGAGTCCCAACGTCAGTGATTGCGCTGTGTACTGACAAAATTTTCGTTTTTAATTCACTTTAAAATGGCTGGCATGCTTAAAAGTGAGAGTTTTGTGGTGCTGATAAGAAAAAAGAGACACCCATTTTAGATTTTCTATGTATTATTTAGGCATTTTCGACTTACGACCTGGATTTGGGTCCCTAACCCCGTCGTAAGTCGGGGAGGAGCTGTATTTTGAAATACTCAATGTTAACAAAATGTGAAAAAATTCCACACCCTTTTCACTAAATATTTCTTCAAAATTTACTTCTCTCAAAGTACTTATATTGCTGTTGTTTTAGCTACTCTCTCATACTTTAAAGTGAGAGCTAATTTTTCCAGTTGGTCTAGTTCACGTTGTTTACCAGTGTCTCTCAGCCACGCCTGCAGCACATAAAGAAAAAAATATATAAATATTACAAGAATAGGACATCATACCACAGCACATCTGGTTAATCCATGCAGTAAAGATAATTGAAAGTGTTTGTGTTTCTCAGAATTCTGGCCACCCTGTCATAAAAATGTAAAAATACAAATTCACCAAACAGTATTTATATAATTTAATGTTAATATTGTAGCTAGAGCCTCATATTTAAGAAAAAATGCCAAAAACTTAAGTTTTATAATAGTCTCTACTACAGTATTTACAATATGGAGTGTTTGATAGTTCTAAAGCTATTTAAATGCACATGATAATTCAACAAAACTTAAATGATTTTGTGGTAAACCATTAAAAACTATACAGTATTATATAACTGGATTGGGTACAATAAAATAACAGTATAATAGATCTCATTTACAGTAAACCCCCAATATAACGGACGAATTGGGGGAAGGCCAGTCCTTTAAAGCCGAAAATCTGTTATATCCAGGTCAGGAATAATAACAGACTCGGTACATTATATATCAACATAGTCTAAAGTGACCCACAGGGTCACTTTTTGCAACCAACACTCACCATCACCACCAACACTCACACCACCACCCACAGGGTCACTTTTTGCAACCAACACTCACCATCACCACCAACACTCACACCACCACTAACACTCCACACCACCACCAACACTCACACCACCACCAACACTCCACACCACCAACACTCACACCACCACCAACACTCCACACCACCACCAACACACACCACCACCAACACTCCACACCACCACCAACACTCACACCACCACCAACACTCACACCAACACCCACACCACCAACACTCACACCACCACTAACACTCCACACCACCACCAACACTCACACCACCACCAACACCCACACCACCAACACACACCACCACCAACACTCCACACCACCAACACTCCACACCACCACCAACACTCCACACCACCAACACTCCACACCACCAACACTCACACCACCACTAACACTCCACACCACCACCAACACTCACACCACCACCAACACTCCACACCACCAACACTCACACCACCACCAACACTCCACACCACCACCAACACTCCACACCACCACCAACACTCCACACCACCAACAACACTCCACACCACCAACACTCCACACCACCAACACTCCACACCACCACTCACCATCAAAACTCAGTGGTGTATGCTTTGGGAATATCAAATAGGGGTGTTAAAATATAAATTGTGGATAAGTGGGCTGTGAATAGCGAAGTATTCCTGTGTCTAATTCAAATAATTGTTGAACAAAACCATTACCTATTGTAAGACATGAAAAATTAACTAATGCAATTGAGATATATAGAATTTCACTCTACCTTAAACTTTGCATCAACAGCTTTTTGTAGAATAGCTCTTTGTTCTGGCGAAAGTTCAGCATCTCGTACTTCAGCTCGGAAACTAGAAACACATTTGCCTGCTTCTTCCACACTCTGTGTGCAAATCTTAAGAATCAATATTCTATGGAAAATTTTAAAATTATTCATTATAACTGCATATACAGATAAGATTACAATAACACTGATACTATTAGCTTATACTTAAAAGATACAAAACTGTACTAATCAGTTAAAAGGCCTGTGGTGCTTAACTAATTTTTACATATACTGTACAGTACAGGGTAATTACAAGCTTCCTAAGAAATGAAGGATACATATAGGAGGCAAACCAGCTTTAGAGGGCAGTTCAGAAATGTTAGTGAATGATTGTTTAAGCGTATTTACTCTGTAGTAGATAAAAGTTAAAAGGGAATGAGAAAAACTTCAGCATATTATATGAGTAGAAAAGAGTGACAAGGAGAAATAAATAGTAGTTTGAATGGAGACAGAATGAGGGAAGTGTTGTGTGTTAGGTATCTTGGAATGGTGGTGTCAGTGAAGAGTATTATATTTATTGATTCATATTGACTGTAAACCACAAAGAGAATCCTTATATCTACTGAATTTTTTATCCACACCACTCGATTCTTCCAAAGATCTTCTTTCAATACCTTTGTACAATCTGTACTCCAATCTAGTCAGATGATCTAATAAAAAAAATTCTTAGCAGCTACTGTATTTTTTTTTTCAAACAAGAAAAGCTCATTTTGTCCTTTCAGACATGTTTTCATATCACAGCATTTTCCTACCTCTCTATAATAAAGTTTTCTCCACACATGATACATTTTCAAGAAATTACTAATCCTTTCATATCTCTGATGTTAAACCTTTAAACCACTACTAAAAAGCCAAACTTTTTACATCTTCAACTCTGTATATTAGTTATATTTTCCTCACTATCATACTTCACCAAGGAAAATAAAACTCAATTCCTTAAAGCTTCAACATAATTCAGTCTTCAACAAACAATTTCGTCACTGACCTTGGCAAATTCATGTGGAAGCCCTGGAGGCAAAAGAGGAGGCCTGCCATCTATTGGAGGAGTCTGAGTGAAGGGAATTACAAGTAGTTGGAAGTCTTCTGGGTTCATCACTTCACAGGCACCACCCAAAACTCCTTCACTACCTGTAAATGAGTCTAATTCTCACATGCCAAACTTAAACCTTAAAAAAAGTCACAGGCAGTGATTATTGACTGTCGTGATCAAATTACAGAATTGAGGCAACTTTACCTTAAATTTGAAATATTTCAGTCTATTCATGGAAATTTTATGCAACTTCTAGTTTCTCTCCATTCAAATAACATTATTGTACATAGAGATTTTCCATTTCTTTAAACAAAACACTGCATTCATCTTCAAAATCATCTGCCTGCATACTTTACAAACTCTATTTACTGTTCAACCAAACTTACTCTCTTACATAGTTACCATAACAGAATATCTGCAAACAACTAAAAAACTCCAATTTTGTTCCACCTAGAATTTAAAGTGTCCATGTCACCAATACACACCATCTCATACATTACCATATCCACATAAAATATAAACTGCTCTAGTGTATTCCCACATTCATTTTACTCACTCACATTCACACATGCATTATTCTTTTGTAGAAACTTGTACAGTTACAGTACAGTGGTCCCTCGGTTAACGAGCACAATCCGTTTTAGAAGGTTGCTCGTTAACTGAAAAACTCGTTAACCGAAACCATTGTTTCAATGGGTTTTTGGGTAATTGGTTCTAGCTCACCGAAAATTCCCTAAATTTAACAAAAAAGGTAGAAAAGTACACTTACTTTGAAGTGTGTATGTAGAAGGCTCCTGGATGATGATGATGATGGGAATTAGAATGGGGGTGGAGGAGAAGGGAGAAGAGAAGGCATTGGGGTGGAAGAGAAGTCACCCCATGGCGCCATTTCACCCATAAAATTTTAGTTCTCTTGGTGTAGTTCAAGATTATTTTCTTTAAATCACAGTGCACTGCACTATATATTGTCATTTTGTATAATAAATTTCAAAATGACCAATAATTTGCTTGCAAACACAGAAAAAAGAGTTTAGTTGAAGAGAGTCTCAAGCAAGATGTTACCTCCACTGAAAAGACACAAAGACTGACGCCTGTATGTGTGTTGAGAGGCTGGATGGCGAGCATAAAACTAGTTTCATTACCTTCAATTATGTTCAATAATTGTTAAAATGACTAAAAAATTTAATATTAAACTTTTAAAATTATTGAATAGTATAAACTTCTTGATATTTACTAAAATAGTAAGGAATTTAAGCCCTAGAACCGATTACTGTATTGGCGGACTAATACTACAGCTGATGGACTGCCAAATGCAAGCGAAAACATGTTCAGGTCAGCTCATAAGAAACTCGTTAATCGAGGGATTGCTCGTTAACCGAAGTTAAGAATCTTAAGGAAGGTAACTCATTAACCGAGGGACCACTGTAATCTTTAATGCCCAAGATGCTGAGGCAGATTCCTTTGTCCATTTCAGTTCAATTTAAAAAATTGAAAGCTTTCTCCACAACCTGCCATTGTGCAAATAATCAATATACACAACCTATTCCTTCTGTGTATTCTCCGTGTCATCCACGAATTATGGATTCTGTTAATAATTTCACCAAATATCCTCCTATCTTCAAAGAACTAGCGTCTCTGGAATGGCAACTTTTATCGGAACATCTGGTGCATAGCCACTTTGTTCTGCACCTCAAGATATTTTACTTACACATGCTATTACTATTTCACTAACGCAATTATTGTGTCCACCAATGTCCTCTTTATCTCACATTTTTTCTTAGGTATTTGATTGGTCTTGTTATTTCTTCTACCAGATAGCAAGGAGACAAAAAAAAATTAGAACTTACCTAAATGTAATGGTCTATTCCACCTATTGATGTGTGACTGAAGTTGTGCTTTAGCCATATGGTGTTTGAGTCTAGGATAATGAATATTAAGTGGTGCCAACGAGACACCTTGAGTGCGTCCTCCCACTAACAAAGGTCTCTGTGGTGTTAGTGTGTGTACTATCACACCTCGGCAATCTGCTATTACAACTGACCGTGCTGCACACACCACCACAGTATTGCGACATTCACTTAAGCGTATACGTCCTGAAACAGGGCCCAGCACTATTCGAGTATCATGGCACTTGTGGATCACAGCATTTCTGTGGATAAAATTTCTTGGTCACATTATATTCACATGTGAATAAAAAGTAAATACAAGTATCTTTTTGGCATAATGGAAGAAAAGACTGAAATGAGTCTTTGTGTGAGTTAATGATATGGAAGTTTAGCAGTTTAAAAAATAAACACATTTGTCATGTAAAATGGTAAAATACATATTCAGAAGATGAAGTTTAGAAATAAAAAAAACTTCATTACAACACACAGGAACTTGTATAGATGAGGAATTTCCCCAGGTGAGTCATTAGTTAAGAAAGTAAGCTGAAGAGGGTGTTGATTGGTTAACCTTTCATTCTTACAGTCCATGAAACCACTAAAACTGTCCTGTTTCACTCTGGCAAATAGCTGTGCAATTTCAATGATAAGTGAGCCAGTGAGTGATCTCTAACACTGAGAGGTACCCAGTTGTGGGTGGCAGAATTTTTGCTAGGACATAATTATGTCCCTGGAGACCTAAAGCACCTACAGTCCACTGAACATTCAAATCTACAAATTGATAATGATAAGAAACAGGAAATGCAGATACTGTAAATATTCAGTGAACCCTTGAAGATTCAGACTAAAAGGGGAGCCCACCTGTCCGAAAAAGTCGATTGTCCGTATCTTCCGGCGAATGTACTAAATGTATAAAAACGATAAATAAGGATATAAAAAACACCAAAAATACAGTACCGTACTTTAGCAGGGGGTATTTAGGAAAAAACTTGTATGTATTTTCCTCCTGTGGTCATAGTTTTCTTAAAATAATACGTATATACAGTACCAGGAAATTTGAGGAATAAATAAAAATAATATCAATAAATAAATTACAAAAAAAAAATACTGAATTGCCAAATCAGTAAATAAGAGCCAAATGAAAGCTTAACACAGTCGCCTTTTGCACACACTCCCCATTTCACCATAGTAATGAAGACCAGCTCCCCACCCCCTACACTCTCCTCCCTTCCCTCACTGAGCCAGCTAACTCATGTGCAAAGAAATGTATATTCCCAAAATGTATATTCCCTTTACATGTTTGCCCTTAGGACAATTATTTCTTTTACTTTTTTCACAATATGTATGAAGGATGGTGTGTGCAAGTAACTGAGTAATAATAAATGAAGAAAGTTACATATATCTACCCAAAACTATGAGTTGAAAAGCAACCATAACACCTCACAGCTTGGCCCAGTAGCCTGGTGGTTACAGTGATGAGTCTATCCTGAAATATGGCAAGGAGGGAGGAGATTTACAAGAGCAGACAACGATGTAACTAGTGGTCACTCGACTCACTAGCACCCGTTGCCAGGCGTACGATCAAAAATACATATGGTGAAGGGCACAATGATAAACAAATTATATAAACCATCCATTTACTTATGATAACAAGAAACATTGTATCATTAATAAAGTGAATGAAATAATATGCCCACAAACAACAATTGACAACTCTGTTTATATTTCCCGTGTGGTGACATCATAGTTACACAGGCCTTAGATGATCTTTGCTCTGTTTTGGGAATGCTTCTTAAGGAGGTTTCTTAGCCCCCGGAGCCCCCAAATTTTGTCCGAATCTTCCAAAATCCGGATTTACAGGGTCCAAATCTTTGAGGGTTTACTGTATGTACAAATTTATATTCCTAGACAGAAAAGGTACAATGATGTGTACTGTACTACCCCTACAAATGTTGATGGTAATACAGTAATTCATAAGGTGAAATGGGATACAATATTATTGTTAAGAGGGTAAAAGCTGCTTCAAGAAGGGAGTAATGGTGATGGGAATTAGTCAAATAGGCCTCAGTACTAATAAACCCCAATATAAACTTACTGTCAGATACTGTGCAGTATAACTTTATCACTAGGTCCTAATAATCCCCAACCTCCATCAATCATAAAGAAAAATGTCCAGTCAAAATAGACCCCAATTTAAACTAATGATCAATAGGAGGGCATAGAACTAATAATCCTTAAACTTAAGGACGTAAATCCTAATAGGGTGGTTGGGGCCGACCAGGTCAGAAGCCCATATGATCTACAACCACATTCATTCAGGTGTTTTACATTACTGTAATACAATGAAATTAGGAAATATACTGTATAAAAACTCCTATAGAATTAAACATGACAATTGCTGTACAGGTATTACATCAATGTCTAGAAATGTTTGCCACACCACAAGAATAAACACTTGCTTGAATACCAGCTTCATGGCGAAGAAAAAATATTTTACGATAACTTTTCCTAAGAAAAATAATAGTGCACTGTACAGTATTACACACTAAATCACCTGATTGGCTGTAGTATGTAGATATTTGATTTGGAGCATCTTCGTACTTTCAGGTCACAAGGTGCTGCCTCGTCCCCCATGTGAGCGGTCAAGCCATCAATCAACTCACATATATACATGAGTCTATGACTAGAAGAAATAAAACAAAATATTAATAACTGTAAATGAATAATAGTATTTTCCTAGAAACAATTAATAGTTAAAGCTGATCCAACAAGAAACTTGAATATTCCAAGGATTCGTGCAGATAAAAGTGCAATTAGAAATAATGACAGTGGGTGTTTGCTTTATTGCCAATTGTACACTACAAGTACCAACAATACCCTAATAAAATTGTTACCTGAAATGCCATTAGCCCCTCAGGAAAGTTCTGTATGTCATCTTTTAATACATATTCAATTTTCTGATCTATGAAATAAAAATCAAATGGTATGACTGCTATCACAAATACAGCCAAGTGAGGAAAGTGAAGATTATCTGAAGCTCAAAGTAATTTATACAACACAAAAACTACCGTAGTGAGTCTTCACTTTTCAAGAAACAAAAATAAATCATACAAACACACAGAACCATCAAAATATGGGGAACAATAAAGAAAGTCTGGACAGTGACAGAAAAGGGCTACAACAACTAGGAGAAAACCTACACGTACTTGCTCATGTCCTCAACTTGCATATGTTGTATACAAAGTAAGTCCTTAGGCATCATATTGTTTCACAAACATACATGAAAAGTACATTTACTATACACTTCAAAAGTTATCCATTTATCTGTTGATATAAACAATACGTACCCAGAAGATGGAGAAGTAACAAAACGATGGTGTGTTTGAGGTGCTAAAGACACCACAGGCCAAGATTGTCTACAGCCACGACGTACACAAAGCCACTCTCCATGTGGAGCCCAATCTAAACCTCTCAACAGCCACTGCTCAAATAAGCTGTAATGCAGAAATATTTTATTTGTTTGGTGATGTAAAATAGTTTAGCTAATAAATAAAACACTTTAACCTTAAAAACTTCAGTGATTGCATTTATGCATTTCATTATTCTATAAAGGAATAATTACATAAATATTGGAAGAGCATTATATACCGTATCTGACAATGGATAAGTTTGTCACACCAATAAAAACAAGTATATATACTGTATAATTTAAGGGACCACTACAAAATAAATACCAATGGGTGTCAAGTCTGATATTAATGACATTCTTTCATGGCAAGAAAATCATAAAATGCAAACTGTTTTTAATATGTAATTGAAAAATATAAATTATTACTTCAAGCACTTAACACTGCACAGGTGGCTGTAATATCACTACAAGTTAAATTATCTTATAATGTTCATATGTTTAATCTCCAATCATCCTAGATATGCAAAATAAAATTGCCTACATTAAGAACAACCACTTCTACAATATTTGTAAGTCATTGTAAATACTGTAAATCAAGTTTCATATTCTGTATTTAAGTTTCCTAAAACTAGTCATGGTTAGTTACTACTCAGCTATTAGAGGGTGAATGGCAGATTAAATTTCTTTATAAGTGAAATCAATTTTGTTTACTTCACATCCAAATTTACATGATGTAAAGTTCCTGAAGAAAAAATCTGTAACTGTAATGAGGCAACTGTACTTTCCTAATTAATTACTGTTGGCCTAAAATATCTATCTATCTATCTCAATGTAATTTGTTGATGAGAACCTCTTAATAATGTCATTATTAATTTCCCTTTTCTCAAGGAGGAATCCTCATGTTTTGCATTCAAGAAGCGTGGAATTTTCATGATAAGAGGCAGGGCACCCTAAGCAAACCTTAGGATAAATCAATGTTGACTAATAACATAATTGCAATTACAAATACAGTGGCCCCTCGGTTAACGAACTCAATCCGTTCCAGAAGGTTGTTCGTTAACCGAAACGTTCGTTAACCGAAACCATTGTTTCAATGGGTTTTTGGGTAATTGGTTCCAGCTCACCGAAAATTGCCTGAATTCAACAAAAAAGATAGAAAAGTACACTTACTTTGAGGTGTGTATGTAGAAGGCTCCTGGATGATGATGATGATGATGATGATGATGATGATGGGAATTAGAATGGGGGTGGAGGAGAAGGAAGAAGAGAAGGCATTGGGGTGGAAGAGAAGTCACCCCATGGCACCATTTCACCCATAAAATTTTAGTTCTCTTGGTGTATTTCAAGATTATTTTCTTTAAATCAACACTGCACTGCATTATATATTGTCACTATGTAAAATATATTTCAAATTGACCAATAATTTGCTTGGAAACACAGAAAAAAAGCATTTAGTTGAAGAGAGTCTCAAGCAAGATGTTACCTCCACTGAAAACATAGAGAGACTGGCGCCTGTCTGGTGTGTTAACAGGCTGGATGGCACGCCAGAAACTAGTTTCTTTACCTACAATTATGTTCAATAATTGTTAAAATGACTAAAAAAAGTTAATATTAAACTTTTAAAATTATTGAATAGTATAAACTTCTTGATATTTACTAAAATAGTAAGGAATTTAAGCCCTAAAACCGATTACTGTGTTGGCGGACTAATACTACAGCTGGTGGACCGCCAAATGCAAGTGAAAACATGTTGAAGTCGGCTTGTAAAAAACTCGTTAATCGAGGGATTGCTTGTTAACCGAAGTTAGGAATCTTATGGAAGGTAAATTGTTAACCGAAATCTCGTTAACCGGGGCGCTCGTTAACCGAGGGACCACTGTATACAAGATTGGTAAATTTTTACAAGTTGCCCATAATGTCCCAAAATATTTTTGGGTCCAGTTCTAGATATATCTCATCATTCTGAGTACTTTTCATTCTATACATTTCTGTCATAAATGAATAATAGTGAATATGTAATAGAACCTGACCTAACCAACCAAAGAAACCTACCCACCCTTACCTAATTCCTTAGCCAGCTCCCCGGACCCCCGCCATAGTAAACAGAAAGTTTACTTATTTTGTTATCTGGTATTAATGAAAGCAACTTTATTGAAACGTCATGGTATAAGTTTACATTTCATGTGGGCATGAGAGTACCGTACGCTGGGACCGAGCAGGTCGGTTGTAAACCAACTGATGAAACGTGGTGACTCAGCAGATTATGGGCAACTTGTAAAAAAAATACCACAAGATTTGCACTTTGTACAATACAGTATATATGATAATTCTATTTATTCAGTATATCTTTATTTTATTTTCATTGCCTGCAACTAACAGTAATTGTGATCAGCTGTTTGCATACGGCATACCAACATTCCCCTTTTTCCTATGTTGGCAGACCTGGAGCAAGTCCCACGCAATCCCCAAGATTTGTACCACCTAGAATACGACCAATGCCCATGGCTTGGGCAAAGCTCTCCGTGAGAATTCCTCATGAGGAAAGCCTATGTAAACGATCTAGAATACGACCCAAGATTTCCTCCATTTTATGGACATGACCAGCAATAAGAATCACTGAATTTAATGTGCTAACCTTAGGCTTTACAGACATCTTCACTCTTCCACATATTAGCAAATTTCTTTTCTAGATTTATGAATATTTTCACTACTCCATGTACTTGGACGTAACTATAACCTACAGATTTCAATAGTAATAGTAATATAAAGGAACTCACCCTTTCTGGAAAGCATTTTTCTTACTCAGATAACCAGACCTGTAGCAATTATTTGTGTCCATGGCCACTGACAACAGGTCATGTTCAGCCCTACAAAGACATAAAACATCAGTAATGAAAACCAACAACACATAGCTGAGTAAGGGATCAAAAGGAAGAGTAAATCTGAATACAAGGTGGAGGGATTCAGCGAGTGAGTTTTTGGAGCCAAATTAATCCACAGACTTAAACCTGGGACCAGACCTGGATTTTCTTACTTAATCTGTGGATTTGGTTAAATTAAGCTATTTTGTGTTATCGTGAGTTGGCTTAGAGGGTAAGCTCCTGGTTCTGAGGTTAGCAAGTCCTGATTTTGTAGTTGTTGAGGGTGGGAGTATAAAAGTGTGTGCTAAGATGTGAAAGAACAGGCACATCTAAGAGACTATAACTACTACCCTACTAAATAGTTGAAAATGTTGTATCAAGTTATAAACCCAATTCTCAATAAAATACTGAATAATTCTTGGCCCTGTGCTAATACAGTAGAAATGTAGGGCTTACCTACTCAGAATAAATTAAATGGCAATTTAGTAATTAAATTAGGCACGTATACTGTACAGTTGCGGAAATTTGTTCCTATGCCCCCTGTGGTAACCCGTGTTTCCAAACAGACAACCTATATGACCTATAGCAATCCTATCCACCAAACACGTCTGTTGCTAGACGACCAATACCCATTCACTCATAAATAGTGATACTACTACTGCAATGTTGCCGTTTGAAGACACATGTTACCACAGGGGGTGTAGGAACACATTTCTGCAACTGTACCTGTATACACATTGGAATATAAATGAAATTCTTAAAACAATTCCTTACATACATCAGCATGTAATGAATAGTCACATGGAATGATTGATATGAAATGAAATATGAGAACAAAAGGTCTGAATTACCCTAAATTTGGTCAATCAAGTGTGAGGAAAACAAGTACTGTACCAACTATTTTGTGATGCTGGCAAGTAACAATAATCATTATTATTATGAAGTAAAATGAAACACTGAAATAATTTGTACACTAACATAAAGTAAAGAAGAAACATTAAAATAATTTGTAGGAAACTATACTATAATAAGTTAGGTAGAAACACAAACGTAAATAATTCAGTAACTCACTTGTCGCCTTGAAGAGATGTACCAATTATAAATCCTAGAGATTTAACAACATCTACAGACAAAACACCTGCAGACTTCATAAAGCCTAGTAGTTCACGGGGTGTACGTTTGTCACCTGATTTCTTCTTCTTCTCTGTGTCTTCAACCTGGAGGTGCTGTAGGATGGAGAGTCGTTAAGCATATGGATCCTACATCATCTTTTTATCTATCAATCAGTTCATCTATTTACATCCCTCTCATTCACTCAAATTATACTTTTACTTTATGAACAAACAAATCTTTCTTGTTTCTGTGTTGATTCCACCACTACTATCTCATATTATGGTATATATATACAGTAGTACCCCGCTTTACGCAGTCAATTGAACCCACAGGGTACCGCGTGAAGTGAAAACCGCGTTAAGTGAACAACAGAACATATGGGATTAATTCCAATAGAGACTGGCCCGACCCCCAAACTCTACTTTTTCCGACACAATACCTATGTTCTAGTAAAAATAACATCTTAATTTTATGATGGTGTGGTGTTGGGGATCTCAGCCTCTCTCTACTAGGCTTAGCTATGAACTGCATTATTGTTCTTTTTCAACTTTTATTTTCGGGTAGATATACAGTACGTAATTTTATTCTTTTTTGTTACAGATATACTGTTACATGCACACGCAATCGTCCATACAGAATGTGAAAAGAAAGAAAAATTATTATCATAAGGTCAAAAACATAAACGGAATGAACATAAATCATACCCAGATGTAACTAATATTCATCTTGTAATATTCTTAATCTCCATCCTATTATATACAGGTACTCTATTACTTTGAGCCTATGGCCAAAAATATACTTAAAAGTAAGAGCACCTTACCCCAGCTAACAAACTGAGAAGCTCTGGCAGGGCCTCCCGTACAAATCCCGCATGCTTTTCTTCCAGTAACTGCTTCCGGGCCGTTGCTCCAGAAATATTGCTATTTGGCCATCTGCATAACAGAATTAAGGGAAAACCAACAAAAAAAAAAGTCTTAAAAAAATAAAAATAAATAAAAATTGTACAGCTGATAACTCTTTTAAAGTGCAATAAGGATGGAGAAAAATAAAAAGACCTCATGATGTCTGAAAATGGGAGACATCAGAATTTATACAGTCAGTGTACTGCTTACTGTAAGTGATCTTCATTTCCCTTAAACTCAAGTGCCGTCCAGTACTCAAAATTATTGGGCGATTGATGAAAAATAATAAAAGGATACGGATCTGTAGTGAGAGTCTGTAGGGAGGCTTGTCTAGCGATGGCCCGGGGGTGGGCGCTGGTAACTCGGTGAAGATATAATAGTATTATAAGCTCCATTGTCCAAACTTCCACACCACCCATCACCTCATCTGAAGAAATATTTTTTTATGAACACAAAAAAAAAAAAATAATAATAATAATAATCTGTAACTCCATTATGAAGAAATATTTTTTTATGAACACAAAAAAAAAAAAATAATAATAATAATAATCTGTAACTCCATTATAGGGGCACAAGAGACTGGGCCAATATCAGGAACATTTGTTTATTGGATTATGCTCACATATGTGGTAGGAAGTTACCCTCTTATTTTCAAGACAACTTAAAAATCTGTTGGTATATAAACTGCAAATTTCAACAATTATATTGGACTATGAAAATATTGAATCCCCACGTAAGGGTATTTAAAATATTGTACCAATGTATTAATGCTAGTTAGGACACTATAGTAGCAACACCTTGGATTTAATATTACTGTACATTCCATCAGTTACATCTATGGGGATCTATTGAAATAATGTAATGTACTCTTATTCATTACTAACTACTATACTTTTTTACTTAAACTCTCCAAATTACACTGTCCAACTTTTTCCCTTGAATATTTCTGGGCACTTCAACCCCTAGGTATTACTGGGGACTTGTAGAGAACCAGTCTCCCATATACCCATAAGAATCATTTAAGTGAAGAGAGGATCCCATGAGACTGATGGCTTATGAGGACAGTATTGATACAGCACACTGAGTGCAATGGAAAAATGTAACTGATACTGCACTCAACTGCCTTCACTTCCCCAAGCCACCCTTTGGACAGAAAGCAAAACCTATTTCCACTCCACCACTATACCCTTGAGAAAAATTAAAAGGTGACTTCTCAAGGTATTATGTCCCTAAAGCAAAATATCTTTCCACATACACTATGCATATGTAAATCATTACATATTCAAGTAAAGAACAAACCTATAAGAATGATTATGATGATGAGTAAAATCAACTTGTAACACAATCTGGTAAAAGTTCAATATATGTTGTTGAGTGTTCAGCCTTGCAATGTAAAGTAAGATGAACAATGCTTGAGGTATTAGAAAACATAGAATGCATCCCACAATTTGCATTTTAGACAAATACTTTACATGGTCACAAATGCTAAATATTTATCAGAGATGCAAATTTAACCCAGATATTGTTTCGTGTTGTCCCAATATTTTTTTTTTTTACTATTTACTTCATAATGAGTTAATTAGGCATTTCAAGTCCTTTCTCTCTCTACAATGTACATAAATTGTGGAGTTCTTGAAAATTTCTTCCCTTCATGGCAGAACAGTTGGGTTTGGGCGTTATGTGTACTGTATGTGTATGCTCAACACAAAATTATAATTACAACTTTTGCAAATCCACTTCACTACCTTAATAAATGCAAACAAATTCAAAATAAATTTACAACAGTTTAAAAATAATTCCCATACATAGTGTAATAAACATATATAAATGAAGGCACTTGGAAAACCATTACTGTCTCCATTTCATCACAATGATGTAAAATAACAGTATTGTATATAGTTTCAATTCACCCCTTTCTTTCTGTGATGCAGCAGCTGCTAGAGTTGCTTCCAATTCTCTGTCACGACCAGGCCGTAACTTGGAGAAGAGAAGACAAGAAAAGAATACAACCATACTGCACTCAACACTCAGACCCATCTGTGAGAAACACCACAAAAGGACATGGTTAGTTATACATGTGGGGGACACCAGTAAACTTTAACAAAACACACAGAAAAGTACAATATTTATTGTAGTGATTAGTAAAATAGAATTGAATAAAGAGCATGCTGATCTGGTTTAATAAACTGGCACATGTTTAAGAGGTGAGAGATAGAATACAATAACCTTTTCAATCTCTTAACTCTCAAATCAGAATTCTGATGTTAGGGCTAAGTGGCCCAAGACTGGAAAATGGGAAATCAGACAGAACAAAATCTTCTCTCTCTAATTTTTTAAACAAATAAAGTTGTACCATATATGCCAATAAAACAATTTTGTATCTTACAGTTATTAGTATATTACAGTATGAAAAGCATCAACATCATGCAAACAAATTACAGTAATTCACATAAATGTTAATTAATAAATCACAAGTGAGCATATAAGAAGCAGATGCATGCACTATGGATCCCTACCTAACCATTAAGATAGGAGTCCATAAAGACTAAGGCCCATTAGATCTGAGCTCCAACCCTAATGGTAAGGTTAAGGCCTATTAATGCTTATAAATATTTCAATAATCACCTAAGAAGCAACTTGTATGTGGGGGAAAAATATGAGCACAATGCAATTTTACTAAAGTGAAAGGCACTAAATCTTACTAAGAGCTCAGTACCAAACTTAAAAGACAGGTAGAGTACTGGAATTCAGTGTGTAAGATGATAGTGATGTGACTGAAATTTATGTTTTGGCAACAAAGGAACTAATACTGTAAATGAAACTGATATAAAAAATAAAAGAAAGAGGATATGATGAACTTATAATACCTGTACAAGAACAAATATTAGCAAGGCATGTACTGTACAGTCTCAGCCATTAGAGGCAGTGCAGGGAGAAAAGCTTACATTTTCTTGTAGAAATTAAGTCAGACACTACAATGTTATCCCAGCGCAAATGGTAGGGAAGGCACAGATTATACAAGAAATGGGTGCAAGAAGAAGATAAATAAGAGAAAGGAGGGGAGCAAGAAAAAGGAACAGCAATAACCAAGCAATAAAAACAAGGTTCCCCCACTAAGTGTGTGGGTCCTACAAATTTGTAATTTGTGTCATCAAATATCACAATAGTGATATAATGTACAAAACTACATTACTATACCTTTTTTACTGCAACATGTTTCCAAGTTTCATAATTCATCTGGGGATAACCTCGCTCTCCAAGATCTTGTGAATACTGCAGCAATCGCGACAGCATCTGAAGAATTTAAATTGCAAGTTACCATATTTATTATAACAAGAGATTAATATCATACCATACCTGTAACTTCCCCAGTGTTCCAATATACAGTACAGTAGTTTAAACTTTCATTATTTTATAAGTTTCTTCTCATCAATCTATTTTCATATTTTAATTTGTTTTTCAGTTTATCTTATACAGGCTACCTTAAACACTGTAATGTCTGAGGTATCCAAGGTTGTTTCACTAATCATGATTATTCTCATCCTCTTAAAATACATATATCATGTTGGTCTATTTTCAACAAGCTTCAACAAGATGCCAATTTACATGAAATACTGTATAGCCTAACACTTCAAAATTATCAAGCATGATTCCCTCCTGCCCCAGATGGTGTGGTTGGTGCCATCAATACAGCATTGTTCTGTTAGATGGTAAAAACAAAAATCCGAGAATATGTCCAAGCTGTATTCAATTAAAGGGTTATTTATAAGAGTATCACAACAATATGTTACTGTCAAGATTATTATTACATTACCTCGATAGAAATCTTATCAGGAGGAAGTATGGGCAGAACCCCCAATTCCATCACCTCTGGTCTCACCCAAAACTGAACTTCAGCCATTCTTCACTCCTATCTATTCTGGATCATGGAAGAAGATAATACCTCACTAGAACTTCAGGATGAAAAGTAAAATTCAGTAAGTTTTATACATTACACAGTATAAGCAAATAAGCTGTTCACAAAAACAGATATCAACATGGAAATGTAGCTACAACAGCATATATAAGAGAGTCACATCCTTCCCCAGAAAGCAAACACCATTGCTTTGTTGTTGCTATACTCAGCACTCAATTGAATTGTACATGTTTCTATGAATATATAGGCCCATCATATTTTGTACTGACAAGAGAATCTGTAAGTGTTTGGCAAACACTTTGGTTAATACAAAAGATGTCTATAAATTGTTAAAAACTTTAACATCACAACAATTATCAACTGACAAGATCATAATCCGATTGAAATTTGATATGATACCATTTTATGAGTTTCCTTAGTCCAATTTTATGTCCTTCCTTCCCCTCACAGATTTGGAATTAACACATTAAAACAAACATATCAATGAATAGCCCACCAAAAATGTCAAATAAATAAATCGTCTACCTCCCTCCTGTCATATGCAGATATTCACCTTGTTTTCATGTCTTCATTGCCAATGGATTTGCAATTTGTGCAAATATTCATAACCTCTGCGGGGAAATTTGGGATTGATTAGTACAATATTAAAAATGCACACATGTTAAGTACCCTTTCCTGAACCAAATAAAACCATTTTGCTGTTATGTCGGTGAGAGTCTTACCTTCAATCAACGGCTACTGCTATAGAAATGTCGTGCCCTTAATAAATAATTTTCTTCTCCGTCTATATTAACATATTATAAAATCATTCTGGTGTGGCGAGAAGTGACGACCACAGAGGATGGTTCAAGCGGGACCACAACACCCACACTGTGCCGGCCAATATGTCACCCACACTCTGCAGGAATTACTATCTCCTCTCCCTTGTATATGCAAATTACAGTTTAATCATTGTAAATCTAATTATATATTCCACTTTTAAAGGAAAATATTGTTGTGTTTGTATATACGTAGTTAATTATCAATTGAATTTATTAGATGTAGGATTTCTGTTCCAAAAGAGAAGAAGTTATGTATTGTATTTTGCCTTTTAATTTGTCATGAATTTCGTGTTGGTAGAACTAGTGAATGAATGAAAACTTTTGTTTATACTCACCGGTCGTTTAATAACAACTTGTACATGATGTTAGCCCGGTATCCTTTGGGAATGTCGGGAAATTTACAAAATCCAGTGATATATAAAGAGAAGGGCAGTTGAAGATGAAGTATGGATATAACAGAACAGGTGTTTATTATCGATCAATATTGTTATACTGTATATAAAAAATTCAAAACATCACAAAATATCGCTTGAAGATTTTAGGTAGAACATATCTGGGTTAAGCACAGTATCCAAGAAAAAAAATTATTTATCCTGCATCAAGACTTTAATTATCTGTTGTGGCATGTTAATAACTATAAATTCTGTTATAAAATATCTAAGTAATGACGATATTTGCAAAGAGGATAAGGAAAGATAAATAGTACTCATACTCTTGTTATACTGTATAAGCACCTGAATACTTAATTTTAATTCCATTTACCTATAAGGGGGGGGAGGAATAGGTTAGTCGGACAGAAGCAATGATGTACTAATTCCCTTGAATCTGCTTATGCAAAGGAGAGTCACATCTTGCTGGTAGTCCAACCCTTCTCTCCTGTCAAAATCTTTTAGACTTAGCATTTTTCCATTTGCTTTCCCAAACACTGATTATGATTTGTTAATGTTTTCACTGTTCACGTAAATATTACAGTACAGTATTATAAGTATACCTTTTAATTAAATTCATCATATGAATGATTAATTGAAATTCTTGCATTCCCACTGGCAAACAGCAGTACTGTACTGTACTATGTATATCCTACAATTACTGATGAATGCGTACATAGTTCCTGGGGGTCTCCATATAATTCGAATTCGAAGCCATTTTCAAAATTTTGCTTGAGAGGTAGATGCATGTGTAATGATGGTTTATCAGACCATAGCTTACAGCCCAGAGAAGAACAGCACATATGGCAGTAACTGGATGTGTATGTGTACACCCACCTAAGTTGACCCACCCTTCGTAATTAAAGTGAGATTAAGGCCTGACCCAGCAGAGGTCAAGGTCACAATGAAACGGTTCTCACCGCCGTCGTGTTAAATCAAGAGACTACGGAAACTACCCTCCTGCCTGCACCAGATTAAACACAGTTGTCTCGACACACCCAGATTAGTGTTAATTAGTGACATCTGCTGGCCTGACACCGCCAATATAAGGGGCCGACAGCTCCTTCCCAGGAACAGACAAGGAGAGACAGGACTCAGAGGCAGATGGAATCACACTCGTCACAAGTCAAGGTTGGGAGGGGGACTTCCCTTCCCAGCTAGCAGTCTCCCCCACAGGAGACAGGGAGACAGAACTCGGAGGCAGATGGAGTCACACTCGTCACAAGTCGAGGTTGGGAGGGGGACTTCCTTTCCTAGTACCGAGTCCCCCACAGAAGACCAGTTTCTTCAGCAGCACCTGCAGACAGATTTCCCAGCCGCTGGGCCTCCGTCAGGTTACACGCGAGTCATTATCAGAGCGATCCATAGGGTGTGTTACTTATGGTGAGAAGTGTACCCATTTCATGTTTGTGTCCCAGAGTCATTGTCTAGTAAAGTCAATATATTGATCTATTAATGTGTCCATGCCATTGAGTTAACTAATAAATAGCTGTACTTAGAAGTGGTGTTTAGAGGCTTTCCCCTAATAACATATTTGCAGTTAAATAACTAATTGGCCACGCTACCAAACTTTCCTCACTATACAATCCTACAACTATAAATTCTTACTTTACCCTCATTACACATGTTCTTGCATCACCATTGCTATGACAATGATAACAAATGAAGACCTTCCTTACCAGTCATTAGTGGCTCTAGAGGTCCAATATCTTTCCCTCACTCCCTGATAACTGATACACTGATATCCTATCTCCTCCACTGAGTTATAATGTGTATTAGCAAAGTTTGAATAACATCCTCATGAAACAAGGACAAAGTTAGAGCAACAGGAAGATATCCACTAGATTGGTATTTATTCAAGAGAAATTTACATTCTGAAACATGATGTACCATAACCTTAAAGCTAGACCAGTTTTTAACCCTATATAATGAAAAGTGACAGTTGGCCCCAAAGGTCTGACAGCCTGTTAGGGGACAGTATAGATATAACACATTGCAGCATCATCTTTCTTTTTCAGTAAACAAGATGGCAGTGCGGCCAGCATTGCATTAGTCTTTCTACAATTTCCAAGGAACCCAATCACAGTTGAGTGGACTGGAGATGCCTTGGGAGTGAACCAGTGACCTTTATGACAGAAGGCATGTAATGTATATCATCTGTTTATTGTGTACAGTATTTTCAATCCTTGGCTGCTATTTTATCTAAATAAACTGTTAATTATTATTATCTACAGTATTATTACACATCCTTACCTTGTCTGTGGTGTCTTTGAGGTGTTTTTTGGCTTGGAGGCATGACCATAGATGTAGACATTTTGTTAAATAGACTACTGTAGTTGTGTTATGTCTTCAGGATGTGAAAATAAGATTGACATTTTCAGATTCAGAAATATCCATGAAATATATGATTTTGTTTGGGGAAGTGGTCATGGAATTAAATCTATCTGTTAATTCTGTACAATATTATTGATAATACACCCTACTGATGCCCATCCCAAACAGTAGTGTACTACAACTACCCTACAGTACTTCAAGTGTAACCTGTAGTTCCTAGAGCTACAACATGGTGAACATGATGAGACACCCAAATAATTAATCTGATTCCAGCTGAAAAGTAAACAGATTTTAATACTGAACTGTTATTGATTCACTGATTAGTGGAATTTTCTCATGGTCTACCATCCCCAGTGACTTGATGAACATAAAGCTCTTGCTGGCAGATCAAGTGGCAAGGAAGGACAACAATATACTAAGTAATTGCTGTACAGTATTGGAAACGGTCTACACACTTTTGTGTCAAGACAAACTATGTACGTACATTACTTTGGATTCCCGAGTTTTAAATACTGTGACAAAGAAGTCAAAATGCATTCTAATCACTGTAATTTCACAAACATGAAATTAGGGTTTGAGAAGACAAAGTAGTAAAGCTTTCGTACCTTCAATTGCTGTAATATGTAGAAGAGGGGAATTTTTAAGTTAATTCTATGGAGAAACGACTCATTTTGATGCTTTTGAATCTTATTTTGTTAAGTTTATATGGTAAACACTTCAAAATATACCGGTAGGTATAACCATTTTATATTTGGTGTAATTTTGATAAATGTAAACCTGCATTATTGTACACAATTTATTTCTATTAGCTTGTGTTTAGAATATCTAACTATTGTACTTCTGTATTTCTGCTGCTTTTGTTATTAAGAATATTAGGATGACTATGACAAAATTATCACTGATGATAAAAGATTAATTGGAGTAAATATATTTTTTTTATATAACATTTGCAAGAGAACAATGTTGAAGGAAATGCTGGGAATAGTAAAGGTATGGTGGATAAATTTAGATGCATACAATATTTGCTAACAATATTTAACAAAACTGGAAATGAAAAATTAGTGGTTACAAAGAACATGTAAAGCCCTAAGTAACATAATGAATACTTGTAGTTAGTGTCTGTGTACTGTGTAAGGACTCTGCAAGAAAGAGTTTGTGCCAACTTTTATGTATAGATGTGAAATTACTCAATGTCTATTTCCCTGTATGCATGTGAGAGTGAAGAAAGGATAGATAGATTTATTTTAACATTATGATAAATCTGATTTCCAAAGATCAATAAATTTATACAATATTCAAAGTTGCATAAAAGATATTGAGAATTATCAGCCAAATTTGATCAATTCCAACAAATGAATAACACTGATAAACATAAGCTTTTGACACACAGTACATGTAATATTACTGGGGATATTTGAGGCAAAGAGTATACGCAATCAACAGTGTGGGATGTGACACAGTATAGGGAACAAAAAGTTTATGTATGTAAAAAAAACATTTATTAAAAGTTCCTTCAGTAGAGAAATATTCACCCATTTACTCCAGCAATATCTACTTTAACTATACAAACAAATTAAATTTCCATATTTACATATACAGTACTGTACAGTACAAAAAAAATCACAATTTGAGTCGAGTTGCAAACTTTGCATAAATAAATAAGTATAACTGTACTTGAACATTTGAAGAAATTATTTATGCATCACACTCTTTGTAGTTAAATACTATAATAAAATATACAGTACATCTAAATTTATTCAAACAATCTCATAATTACATCTTATCTACCTTTCACTGCATTGGAATTATTGATGTTATAATATATATGGACATCAGATATCATTAATAATATATATGAATACTTAAATATTTTAACTAATTCATCATTTACACTGTTTCTTACAATTTGTGGGGTGGATATTCCAGGTAGGAAGGCTTAGCTAGTCTGGGAGCATTGATGAAGCAAGCAATCATCAGTGCATGCCATAGCAAGTTAAGTCCTACTAACCCTGCCTGTCTAAATGACTGAACCTATGTCTTATGGGGTTAGAATCCAAAGCTACCAATGACCATGATGCCCCATAAGTTATGAAAAGTAATTTAGGGCAGTTGAGAAACAACCTTCAAAGAAGAGCCCTTTCAGAGGGTGACTGAACACTTCAGATCAGAAAGACTAAAGCAGCATTTTTTTGTTCCAAACAGTCTAAGTTCTGATAAACTAGAAAAAGTCAAGCAATATTACTGGAGATATTGTTTAAAACTTTGTCATCGTCCAAGGTAGTTTTTTAGAATTTTTTTTTTGCAAAATTCAGAAAACACCTACAGCACATATACAGGTATCATGATGTGGCAATTTTCAGTGATATATATCACTTTCTTTCTTGCAGTGACAATAAATTACTCTTCCTCTCCTTACATGGGGACAAATTGACTCTCCTTACAAGGCAAAAAGATGAACAGGACTCTGTACATCATGTCACTTAAATTTACATTAATGTTTATATTAAAAAGTAATACAGGTACTTATAACTCAGCATATATAGTTCAAACCTACATATAACATGTGCCTTTTATATGAGTATTAATGCAATAATTATTGAGTACTATTCTGTACTCTGCTTTTTTCTTTTAATCTTCAAAAAACCTTTAATCATTTAATACAATTACACCCTGATATCCGTTGTTTCCCTGCACAATAAAGAAATATGGAAGGTTAATAAACATATTACTCAAGAGTACTCTCACACTCAAGTTAACAGGTTGTCCTCAGATATACTGAACATGAAAACACTATAATGGGAGGGAAAAAATGTTACCCGTTACTTATAGAGTACAGTGGTCCCTTGGTTAACGAACGGTTCGGTTAACGAATTACGTTCCATAAGAATCTTCAATTCGGTTAATGAAAAAAAATTTGATTAACGAAATCCTTACGAACATCACGTTTTTTGTTGTGAGCATCAGCTGATGGGCTAGTCTGCCAATTCAGTAATCTGTTCTATGTTTACATTCGTTTCCAGTGGAGTAAATATCAATAAAGTTTTGGTCTTTAATATTTTTGCACTTTTTATATTAAAATTATTAGTCATTATAACATTTATTTAACATATTGATAATATATGCAGTACAGGGAACTAGTTTTTTGTGCGCCCACCAGCAGCTTGACTCAGCCACAAGGCATCAGTTGGGCTTTGAAAACAGTGGAGTGAACATCTATTTTGTTGGTGTCTTGAATATTTTTGCATTTTTCATTGACATTATTGGTAATTATGAAATTTAGTTAACATATTGATAATATGTAGTGCAGTGCAGTGTTGATTTAAAGAAAATAATCTTAAATTACACCTAGTGAACTTAAAATTTTATCGGTTAAATGACAGCATCAAGCATGGATCCACTGAAAGGTGATTTCTCCCTTCTCCTCCACCCCCACTTCTAAGTCCCATCATCATCATCAACCAGGAACCTTCCACATACACACCTCAAAGTAAGTGTACATACTTTACTGCATTTTTTTTTTTTTACTTTATATGTACTTTTCGGTGAGCTGGAACCAATTACCCAATATCCCATTGAAACAATGGATTCGGTTAACGAAATTTTCGGTTAACGACGACCTTCTGGAACGAATTGTGTTTGTTAACTGAGGGACCACCGTATTGTAAATTTTTCAGTTTTATTCCACACTAAGACCTTAAACAATTGGTGGAATACACAATTTCTAACTCAACACAATTCCTATTTTTTCTCTTATCTTTCATTACCTTTTCCTACTTCATTACTCTTTCCTGCTTCTGTATTTCACTTGTCACTACATACAGTATATAACACAAGAATTTTCATTGTTTTATAATTTATTAATCCTTTCACTGCATGTGTGTGTGTATACATACAGTATATACTGTATATGTACTATACATCTATACATATGTGCAGTATGTACATGCCCCCTAAAAATTCTTAACACTAATATGTATTTCATGATCCCTAAGAATGCTTCCAGTGTCCCAGGTCATCACCACATGAATAAAGAACATACACCAATGGAAACAATCGCATTTTTCTTCGGTCACAGTCCAAGCATTTTAACGGATTGCTAGCAGTTTTCTCAAACTATGTTATCCTTCACGATATCTATCTGCCTTTTATAGCATTCCAAATTTCTTTTTTTACACTTTGTTCTGCCATTAACATTTTCTCAATGCTAAATGATAGAAAACAGTTTAATTAGTAACTCAGGTACTGGTAGATAAAAACGATATAAAAACCTCAAAGAGGACATGGTATAGGACAAAGGTGAAAAATGAGAGGAAAGTATTGAAAGACAAATAGAAAAAAAGCAAAAACAAAAAACATTAAAGCTTTTGTGCTACTGAAAAATGAATTGTGCCTGCAAACTTACTAGGATAGCACAACCAAATGTCATGGATATTCTGGGACGTGGTTATGGTAATACAAAGAATAAATAGATGAATGAGGACATCAGAGTTGTAGTACTGTTTTGAAAGTTACTGATAAAAGTCAATGAATGAGTACTGTACTGTACTTAAAATGTCCATGGAGTGAAATGTGCATACAGTATGTGAGGAGATATTGTAAGAACTTGGTCAAGTCCTTCAAGATACAGTTAAGACAGTTTGAATGCATTTATCAAATTTGTTAAGGTGAGAAGACCTACATTTCATACTCAAATCCAGTCCATGACAATCAAATGATTCTAATATGTAATACAGTAAACACAGCATCATATTCAAAGAACAGGGTACAGTAAATATATTAATACTGTAATTTAAAATTATAAACAGATTTATCTTTAATAATCTTGACTGACACTATGCTAGCACCACCATAATTATTGTAGAGAACAACAAATAAAATAATATAAACAAATGGTTATCTATTTACATACTGTATAATGCAATAAGGTAAACAGAGTTCACACCTGATAAGTGTACCATACTGTACTTAATAATTTGACAAAATAGGTTTATTTTTATACTCTTTCCTGTTATGTGTAGTACATGTATAGATGCACTAAATCTCCATCACTATCTCCCTTTCTCTTACACAAGTGCTTTAATAATGGAAAACAAGTGTTTCCTTTCTGCATGTTTCGAAAATCATAAATGAAAATTGTTCTTTGTCGTAAAAAAATATTAATCATAGACTGTGAGTATGTTTAACATCAACACAAGACAAACTACATGTACTTAAATAGAATAAAATATATCCCAACAAAAATGTATGCAATGGGATCAAGCTCACCATATTTATGTGAATCTGTGAGATGCTTTTAAATCAAGGCTATTTTCCTCTACCTGGTCTCCAACTCTTGAGAAAAAATAAAATCCCTCAGAAGTATTCAATAAATAAGACTGTCAATTACACTGATCATAATTTTTTTTTTTAAATCAGCCCTACAATGTCAGACAATATTTTGTATATACTGTATATGTAATTAATTTGTATGCACAATTTATGTGGTTTAGTCATGGTATGTATATGAGTAGTTATTCAATTCAGTCAAGATCTGATATGAATAACAATTCCTCTGCTCTGTAAAGTTGACAATTTGTTGAGGTTTAAAGATTTTTATTAGACTTTCAACTCACAGCATGTACAATTTTTAACCGAAACTCCAGATTCAGTACAAATATATGATATTTTACAGTAATGAGATATCCATTAAATTCATTCTATCGAGATTCTTGTCGAGAGATTTCCTTGATAAACTATTACAGTACAATATATAGTACTGTACTGTAGAAATCCATCAACATCTGTTTAGTATATCTAATAACTGACATTTCTGTAGATTACTACACAGTACAGTACTGAATACTCAAAACAACTTTGCAAAATGACACAATATTAGTATTCTAGAATGAACCATATTACTGTACAGGTACAGTATACAGTAGAGTCTGCATTTACGCGGTCAATTGAACCCGTGGAGGCCTGCGTAAAACGAGAAACGAGTAAATGAAATAACAGAACATATGGGATTAATTGAAATAGAGACTGGGCCGACCCCCAAACTCCACTTTTTCCAACACAATACCTACGTTGTAGTAAAAATAACATCTTAAATTTATGATGGTATGCACACACAATTAATATTTATGAGAAATACAGTCACCCGGTTAATGTCTTCAAATAATGGACTCAACTCCCCCCTCTTCCCACGCTCACTGGCTCCTCCCTCTCTGAGAAATGTTTGGGTGAAAACACTAGATTTTAAGGTATAGTAATAAATAATACCTCAGACTAAAGTTAGGATAATATAACTGACATTGCTGGATTTCTTGCAGAACAGAAAATATTTTGAATGTAAACATCATATATTTTGCACAAAAGATAAAATTTTTGCTCATTTTCATCATCTCCTTAAATTACATTTAAAATTTGTATGTCTAATGTAAATTTTAAGATGTTTATATTTAAAATGATCACCATCTTGTAAGAATTCCTGCAATGTAAATTATATTCTGGCCGGGTAATTTGTATGAATTTTATGAGCTAAAAACAAATTTCTTCAGTAAATAAACAAATTATACTTCACCCAGACACTATCTGTCAATCAAAATACCCCACCTCCAGCTCCCCCCCTCTTCCCACGCTCGCTGGGTCCCACCTTCCCTCCCTACCAGAGAAATGGTTTGGGGAAAACAGTATATTTACATTTTTAGTAATAAATAATACCTCAGACTAAAGTTAGGATAATATGATTGATATTGCTGGATTCCTTGCAGGACAGGGAATATTTTGAATGTAAACGTCATATATTTTGCATAAGATAAAATTTTTGCTCATTTTCATCATCCCCTTAAATTACATCTAAAATTTGTATGTCTAATGCAAATTTTAAGATGTTTATATTTAAAATGATCTCCATCTTGTAAGGATTCCAGCAATGTAAATTATATATTTTATGAGCTAAAGACATATATGTCTTCAGTAAATAAACAAACTGTACTTCACCCGCGTAAATTATGAAATTTACCGCGAAATTAAAACATTTCATTCTGGCAAGGTGCTGCGTAAATGACCAAGCGCGTAAAAAAAACCCGCATAAATCCAGACTATACTGTACTAACAAAAATATTGATAAATGCCATGTAGAAATACCCCTTCACCTTCTGTTGTTGTAGGGTATGGTATTGGACTTTGGTCAAATACGTCAACATTTAAAGCTTAAATTGTATGTAAAATGTTCATGCATTTGAAAATTGCAGGAAACAATTACGTGATCAAAGCCAAACACGGAGAAGTGGGCAGGACCTGCATCACAAAATAATGCTGAAATAACTTATTAAGGCTCCACCATCTCAACACCTAGAGTCTGCTTCAACTTATACAGTATATTCCTACCTGCAAAATAACTAGGTTCCTGGCTCAAGTACTGAACATGTAGGAAATGAGATAGAACAGAAGGGTCCCACAACCATTAAGAAATGCTCACGTGCAGAACAGGAATACACCCAGGGTTCTACGTCTGAAAAAGAGGAGAAACATCTTGGGTCATGATACCAAATTTCTTCCTAACTACATTTTACAAGAATAACTACAGGAAAGATTTTACTTCATTATTCAATATTAAATTTCAGATTATCTTTCAATATACAATTATCAAATTCAGTTTATTACAATAGAGAAATATACAGAAACTTCAAATTTTGGTTCGGGCATTCTCAAGAAGGCTTAATAAACTCTTCAAAATGTGATTATACTCCTATATACAATCAAAGAACAGGGTAGTGATAGGTGCAGTTGGATTACTGTACATCACCATGCAAGAATTTATTTTAAAGTCTTCTAAGGTACATAGTTTCTAAAAATTCTGACTCTTTTTGAAAGGTAAATTAAGGGATACAGTACATAAACTTAAAAGACAGGGACGAATGGTCAGGGAGAGTCGTAAAATACAGAGTAGGCCAAAACAATAAAAAAAAAAAACTAATTAAAATATTTTTTTGTTTTAATACTATTATGTTGATTTTAATAAGTTCTAAATATTTTTAGCCCTTCTTATAACTTTTTAATATATTATTAATCATAAACATTACATTCAGGATGATTTAGCAATTATTTATAATTTTTTCTATCTAAAAAAATAACTGTGCAAAAGTAAAATTTGAAAAACACAAGCTATGATCAGTCATCCAGACTCATCCTACATGCTTAAAGGCAAAAACTAAAATAAGTTCATCTTAATGCATGGAAAAAACTAATATACTTTTACAGTTGAAAGTTTTAAAGAATTCATTGAAATACAGTTGGAGAGAGAGAAAGAGATGGGCAGTGGCAACTTAGCTCCCCTGAACCTGTATAATACTGTATACTGTATATATATAGTCTGAACACATTAGAATCAGAGGCTCAGAGCCCAACCATAAACAGAAGCAGTCACCAGTTATACAGAACAGTAGTAACTTGGCTCCCTTATAATCAATGTAAGATATGTGCAGCCCTGTAAGAAAGCCAATTATCACCACTTTCACCAGTGTATAATAGTTTACATCCATGTCTATATTGAACAAACGCGGGGACATAACGCATCACTCTAACACCCACATTCATTTCAAATATTTCACTTTCTTTCCCATGTACTCTTACTGTTGTCGTGCTGTTCTCACAGAATGCTTTTACTGCATTTAATAGCCTTCCTCCCATCCCATACACTTGTTATGCCTCCCACAATGCTTTTCTGTTCACCCCATCATATGCCTTTTCCAAATACATTACAAATCCTTTAAACCATCTGTAAGTAATAAAAACCAAGAAAAAACTTAATTAAAACCAAGAAAAAATGCATAGATTAAAAAACAAAAACAAAGTTTTTTTATTTGGTTTAAATCCGCCAACCCTGGTAAAAGACAAATAAAAATGCAACAGGAAAAGGCTGCAACAAAATGTAGAAAACATCCACAAACACTTCCTCACATCCGTAACTAGCATATGTACTCTATCTTAAGATCTTATTCACATGAGTTAGGGCCTTGGGAGGCCTGAGGATTAAACTCCAAATTTGCTGACCATACAAGATTATGCATTTCCAATGTATAACTATAAAACTAGTGTCGGTTACAGACACTGGAGCTATATTTCCCTATCTGTATAATTATATGTGTCATCGATTTCTTTGTTTCAGAAAGTAATATCATTTGTCCATGTGTAATATGGTTGGCTATATTATAGCAAGTTTATCGATGTATTACTGCAATAAATACCATAAACCCACATAATTAAACAAAAATTAAATGATTAAGTTCAATGTATGGCGTGCTTTAAGCTAAACCAATACCTTAAATCTTTTTACTCAATGAAAAGCAGAATTATTATCTATCATACAAGCACCCAGAAGTAACATACTGTAGTGTTTTTTATCAATGGTCTATCAGTTGCTGAAGTGATTTTATCAGGATTCTTGTTCATTTGTTACTAAATAAAGCAAGCCTGGAAAACATTTATGCAATGTGAATAAATTACATGATTTCAAATCTATGTACAGTAGTTACCGAGACGATTCATCCTCATCAAGCTAATGTCCAAATCAAACAATATTTTAAGTTTGAAGCAAATAATCAAAATCATATCATGGTCATAACAGAAAATCTTACTTAAATCTAATTTCAAATTTTGATGGGAAGAAAAGAAGGATTTTTTTTTTTACATTTATCTTCAAACTATTTAAGAACTGTCAAATACCTCTGACCCAACCAATTTCATTCCAATTTTCTTGTTTTAATAATAATACTTGACATTTTCTGATACTGTTAAATCTGGAATTCTCTGCAATGCACCACATTGGAAACACTGCTTCTTGCCTGAACAGCCAAATTAAGCAATGTTGGATCTGGTTAGTACTTGGATGGGTGACCGCCTGGCCCTAAGAACACCAGATGCTGCTGGCATAAGGACTCTACTGGAAACAAGCATCTCATGGCTTTTTCAGCTGTCCTTGGTCAAATTGTCTGAATATCAATTACTGTATAATAATTATTATACAAGTACATAAACTATGAACCAAGTAATCATATTATGTATATTGTTCACCCCTTCTACACTGTGTGATCTTAATACCTTCAATTAACACATACTACTGCTACCATACATGCACATGCAAGCTCAAACTTACAGTAAGAAAAGGTATAGTACTGTAATCTTCCAATTATCAATATTTGTAGAGTGACTGGCACAAAAAATCTATGAGTACAGTATACAGTACGAAGATGAAGAGGTAATGTTTTAGCTGCTCAACAAACTCATTCAGTCAACCACCCCTGAGTACAGTGGAAGGGGAACTGTTCACTCTGCTCTGTAAATGGCTGATCATAAACATGCTGAGGACATAAAAGAGCCTTTACACTTTCTAGGGGAATACTATCTCGCAAGAAGATAAAAACATAACAAAATCATTCAAAAAAAATTCAGGATAGTTTATTTAAAAAGGGACAAAAATCAAAAACTTTGTGGAACAGAGATGCTCCATTGTATATGTGCTAAATTTATTGTCCTTACCGCACTATCACAGTCTTCACAGAACCATGAATACCCACGACGTTTTGGGGACTTCTTAAGAGGTGGTTCAAGGCAATTAAAATGATACGCTTTATTGCACTCATCACACCTGCATGAAAAAGAAGACACATTCTTATTTAGAAGTACAGTATACAGATAAGTATATTACTCCCTACCTTGATAAGACTGTATCACAAACAAAAATCTACCCTTCTGCTACATTAGTCAAATTTTTTGGACATCCACAACCAACAAATGCAGATATTCAGCATAAGCCAGTCAGTTAGTCCAAGGTGCCCCATGTTCATAACATTTGACTGCAATGGTGAAAACATATAAAATCTTACAATTTCACTGCTATAGTACAGTATCTTTTGAAAAAGTCAACAATAAACTTTTCATTTTACTTACGAAACTGTGTTGGTAACACCTCCCGTCTCACCACAAACATCACACTTGCTAAACTGCTGTGGATCACTAGGGTCTGATCTTCTTCGACTACCTGAACCACTGGTAGTGTAGGTATTTGCATGACTCTGAAAAATAATTATTACTTAAAAATTATGTTTTTATATAAAATAAGTAATTCACCTAACATTGGTCACCTGTCAAAATTCATTCCTTGTCCTGGGCACCACATGCTCATCCCAAGAATCCTTAAGTGAAACCCTTTCACTTTTGTCAGCACTTATGGGTGGGCAGAGGGAACCATGTCAATCATCTTATCCCCTCAGCCATAAACTGGAAATTCATATTCCAATCCTTCCATTAAGATTTATAAATTATTATACATAGTCCTACTGTAGATTAGAATACTATGTTAATTAACTTGAATGGCACTTAGATAACTATAATTTCCTATGCACGAGAAAACTTAGCTCAGTTTCTGTTTTGGCTTCAACATTTTAACTTAATGTTATAAAAAAGTCAAAAGAATTTACAAATTTCATATTCATACCAAACAGAACAAAAAGTGGAGGTACTTTCCATCTCTACTAAAGTCCCATTTTTCTATGTCCTAATCATTTATACAGGGACTTTTGAATTTGTTTACTCTTAAATAATTGGAAAAAGTGAATGTGAATTAGTATAATACAGTATCTCTAATTATTTAATTATCACTGCTTTCTAAAGAACAGTACCTAAATTTGAAACATTCCAAATCTAAGACTTTATTTGCCTTAATAGACAACATTATACAAATAAAAAAAAAAAATTTCCTAGACTGTACTTCACTACTTAAAGATTATATTGTGTGTGCAGTAATATTTTAATTAAAATTTTATGAGACACTGTAAGGTCTCAGTATGAATTTAATCCTTTGGCTGTTTCACTCAATTATTGTTGAAGGAATTTTCACACCCAATGGCTGCAGAATGTGAATTCATTCCACAGGGAAAACTTTAATATCCCTTTGCTGCAACAATCACCTGTGTATGCACAACCATCATAAGTGGAGCATTTGGTGCCTACATTATCTAGCTCATTCTGCCATCTCTTGGATGTTTAAAGAGAATATTTACTATATATTCTTGAAAGTTTTAACATTTTTATGCATTTCAGTATTACTGTTAGAGTTTTATAGGACACCCAAAACAATTAAAATTCTAAATATGTGAAATTAGACATTGAATTGAGTTAGTATAGTATTAAACATAAATGCAGCCAGAATTATATTATGTTAAATCACATCAAATTTAGCAAAGGAACACGATAGTTTACAAGGACGGGGCCCAAGAAACACCCAACATTAGTGGTTCGGACTTAATCTTGTGATTAGTCTAACCATCTCCTTTAAAGGGGATGATTTGGAGGCAAAAGTCACCATCAGCAATAGTTGTCTGATGAGTTGGCAATGTTAATCATTGTGTAGGCACCTACACTTTCAATGTGACATAGAAAATTATTGAAAATGTAGATACTGTACTGCATTACCTGCAGGCCTGATATCCTGACTGTTGAATTTCCCTCAGCTGAAACATTAAATCTTGTTTTCTCTTTTAGATTTTGTAATCACTCAGTTTATGGTAGGCATCTTTCATAATTTTAGCAAGTTGTTTTCCAAGACAGCTGAGTTACCGTACTTACTATGGACTGAAACATTCTCTTGATGCAATGGATAAAATGTGAGTCCCCTGAGGACTTCATACAAAAATAAATAAATAAATAGACTTGTACTGTACATCTTGATCTGAGGAAGCAGTTATTTAACTATCTTACCTTGAGATATGCAAATACAGTACTGCATGGTCTGCTATCACTGCAAACATCATAAATTACTAAAAAGGATATATAATCCACTTAGTTATCTCCAAATGGTGTAAAACCAGAAGCAAAATGATATTAGGGAGTCAACAGATAACAGACACAATGTACTGTGCATGGCTAAAAGTAAATGTTAATCTCAATGTCCCCAGTTATTATGAACTCTTTTTGAGCTTTGGTTATACAACAGGGGGAAGGAGATACTGAATTACAACAACTAATAATTCTTTCAAAGTTATATGGGTTCTAATACCAAACATTGAGACAGCTCTGATAACATGAGTCATCAACAAAGGTTGTAGTCATAAATTTACAAATGGGATGAGAAAATATTTTTATCTTCAAAACCTGGCTCAAGATTAGAGTAATAAAATTTTGTTTGTACAATGCACTAATTAATACGAGATATCATAAAAGGTCAGCACAGTATCTCACCATAGAAGCTTGACTGGTGGTGAAAATTGGGAAGTGTGAGTTCGCTGAATGACTAGGTGCAGATGTATGCACCACTGAGGAAGAGGGTGGTGCCATTGGTTGAGTTAATGTGTAACCAGGAGGGAGAGGTGGGTATCCCGCAGGTGGAGTCATAGTCTGGTAGTTTGGACGAACATGTGAAGTGCTGGTAGTGGTGGTGGCAGAAGAAACTTGATTGGTCACAACCTTTGGATTTAAAGATGAGGAGATAGGTGCAGAATTAACTCCACAGCCATTTTCCTCCATTGGACGTGGTGGAAGAGGTTTGATCTGTTAAGCACCAAGAGCATTAGTATATAGATACCTACATTCAATGGTTAACTTACATTATTTTATAACTGGGTGCACATACACTGGGACCACTGTGTATCACATTAACGCCCTTACACAAAAGTTCCATGTCATCAATAAACTTTATTATTCTAGCCTTTCCTACTTTCTCGAAGGTTAATTTTATTCCAAATTTCCAGAGGCCCAGGGATCTCCGTTATAATTTCTGAGGTGTGCATTTTACAATGGTGTTCCCGTTCTATGAAACCCCAAGACATACATCTAGTTTACTCCAATTGCTTTATGCAAGACCCTAGCTTCACATCTATCTCCAATGCCTTTTAATGTCAAGCTTTTAGATCAGGGGTTCTCAACCAGGGGGGAATTTCCCCCCTCAGGTTTTCAGGGGGGGAGGGGGGGAACTGATACTAATATGGAAAAAAATAAAGTATTTTCAGTATTATATGCATATTATTTGGAATGCACTTTTTGAGGCAGACAATCTTGGAAAGGAGGGGGGAATGACATTCTGACATATGGTGAAAGGGGTGCATGGGGCAAACAAGGTTGAGAACCACTGTTTTAGATGATAAACAAACACCACTGCTCCAGGATGACCATTCCCCTCCCATCCAGTTCCTCCTTCATCCAATCCTTACACTACCTTCTTAATTTTCCACTTCCAAATCATATAATTTTTATCAATCTCTTGCATCCTGTTTTCTCATAATGTCCTTTTGTATTTTTTTTTTTTACAGGAATTAGCCAACCCGGGCACAGGTCAAACGACCCACAACGGAGCCTGGGGGGCGAAAAAAAAGAACGGAAAGAAATTGAAAATATAGAAAGAAAGGTTATACTGTATTAATCTACACCACGAAGATGCCGGAAAACCAGCTTTTTAAAGTGAGAGATTGTAAGAGCATGGAAACACAGAAGGCGGCAAAGCATTCCACAGTTTGGCTGTGTGAGGAAAGAAGGAGGAACTATAACGGGTTATTCTCGTGTGACCGATATCTACAGAGAAATGGTGGGCACCGCGGGCAAGACGTGTGTTACGAACCCACGGCCTTACCGGCGGTACACAGGATGCCAAATCCCCTGAACATTGCCCGTTAAAGTACCTGTAAAAGAGAGAGAGTGAAGCAACATTGCGGCGAAGAGAAAGGGGAGAGAGATTGTCGACTAAAGGAGGAGAGTTAATAAGACGAAATGCCTTTGATTCCACCCTATCTAATAGTTGCTTCACATTCATAAAATATTGTTGGCTCAACCATTCTCCTATGCCTCCTTTAACACAGTTCTCTCTCTCTCTCCATACATTTCTCATTGAAACTATTATGACTTTTCCCTTGGTTACTGAATGATTCAGTTCATTATCTTATATTCCACTTGCAGACACATCCACTCCCAAGATAGAAGAAACACATTCGGTACTTCCTCCATTCAAATTTCTCTGTTTCTCATAGCTACTTATATCACATCACTCTTGTTAATGCTCTCTTCTTACTTTTGCCTACTAAATACTCTCCCATTCAATAACATTTGCAATTTTTCTTCTGTATCTTTCACCAAAACAATATTTCCCTCAGTTCCCATTTGCACCCTTTATCCCTACCAAATAATTACTCACGTAGACAAAAGCATGAATGTTATCTTATGTAATAAAAACATAACCTAACCAACCTTAATTCTCACAGGTGTGACCATTTCTGATGCCATTTCTCCTAAACCATGTTTATCACGATGATGGTGTTTCTTTTTCTTTCTACCGCCTTCCAGTTCTTTGTCCTTATCCTTTTTCTTCTTCTTACTACCATCACGATGTCGTTTCTCCTTGCGGGGAGATGTAGGATCATCTTCAGCACTGTGGAGTGATTCAGATGTAGGAGAGTGTAGTGAGGCAGCTGAAGGAAGGGATTCTACACTGGTATCTAAGTGAATACTGGAACCTGCACGACGACGAGAGTAAGCTTCTGAATTTTCAGTAATTGGAGCAGGAGGATTTCCAGCACTTGACAAAGTATCTGAATCTGGTTGTGTAGGCGGATGAACTGGAGCATCAGTAGTATCACCAGTAAGGTCAATAACATTCCTCCGACTACGGGTGGGAGATGAAAGACGGGAATGAGGAAGAGTTTCTATAGCTTCAGATGGTTGCCGTCGCTGACGAGAGGGTGAGGATGTAGCCTGAGACACTAAAGATGGAGGTGAGGAATCTATTTGTGTTCGGCGAGTCTTGGTTGGAGAGGTAGGTTCTGGGGCTCGTGTTGTGGATATAGTAGATGTTGTTACTGACAATGCTGCAGATGATGTCATTACTGTTGTGGATGCTGTCACAGAAGTGGCTGTGGATGTTACAGATACAGTTGTGGATACTGTCGAAAAAGCTGCTGTTGTTACATTAGGTTCTGGTAGAATTTTCCTACCCCGACCTGAGCGAGTCTCAAGTGGTGAGACCTGAAGAATCTCTGGACCAGCATCTTCAACAGAAACTTTCTTTCCATGGTCAGTGGCTGTGGTGGCTGTGGTAGGGGACATCTTATTTGAAGGACTGGATTCAACTGACTTGTTACCAGGAACTGAATCTCCTGAGGAGATTTCCACATCACCCTGTGATTTTCTTCTTTTCTTTGTTACAACTTTCTTATTGTCACAAATCTTTCTCTTCTTCCCTGCAGAATCAACAGATTCCTCAAGGTTCATGGGCAATGAGGCTACTCCAGGATGGTAGAGATGAACAGGAGGCTTGTCATCTTGAGACTGGGTTGTACTTGTAAGGATAGTAGGCATAACCCCACTGGGATGGCCCTTGTCTACAATATCACAGCCCTGCAAAGAGAAGATGAAATAACTATCTATCCCTCTTTCAACCTTACTCAATTTCCAATGAAATTAGGTGGAAGAGATGCAACAGGCCTTGACACTAACAGAATCCAAACAGCCTCAACTCAATATGTTAAAATAAAGTGAATGAAGATTTCCCCAATACTTTTATGATTAGTAATATTCAATATGCCTTTAAAGTTAATTCATCACCATGACTCCTTCCTCTGTATGTTCAAAAGGTTTAAGTATTTAGGAAAAATGAATATATAGAAGAGGAAAGCAGGAACTGATCCCCCGATTCTTAGCAATCTGTAGCGAGTGTTAACCAACCCTCTTGGTGGTATAGTAGTCCAACATGGGTTACACTCACCAGTGTACCAGATGTGGGGGCTAGTGTGTAAGGGTGAAACCCAATCCTTCACGTCAGCAGACTGAATAAATCTTGACCACTGTTAAGTAATTTTATGTTTGTTTCCCTCTAAAAACTTCTTTTAACAGATTTTTACAAAACAAGTCACACACTTTTAATAAATAAACACAAAATATGCACCATCAGTTGTATATCATGATATTCGAGTTACTATAAATTACAGTAGAAATTTATTACTTTGCCATGTGTATAGGCCAACAACTGACTACACTGGCACACTAACCCAGAGGGGTTTTATTACACACAGTATATCATTTACTAATAGTGTGACACTCAAACAATGCACTAGCAGCTTGCCTGTGTTAATTTACAATTAAAAGTATGTGCTGCCATCTATTTTTATTCTTTCTTACCATGAGAATGACTTGTTTGGTTCTCTAATTAAGGCTAGTAACTTTAGAAATAAAAACAGTCACATAAGGGAAGTACTTAGAAGATTTTTTTATAACCTAGAAAGCATATCACTGGAACAACAAAATTTAGAACAGTTAAAATCAAACTTAGCATGTAATATATGCTGTTTTCTCTAAAACCTTGTAAAAACTAAAACTGATGGTTTTACCTTGAAAACTCAACTTCTCAGAGGCAGGCAATTCATGTATATTATCTAACCAAAGCTTAAGGATTTAACCTTAAGAACCCTAAACTAAGGTGGCTGGGGAATCTTCTAAAGATTAGTTTACTCCCCCTTAGCCCTAGTTCTAAAAAGGGAATATTGAGGCCACAGTCACCACTGAAAGCTAGGAGCTTGATGAGTCATGGCACTGCACAATCTGCTCCTTATCTGACTGATCCAGTCATATACCAAGCTCACAGCACCAATCTCTAGTTTATTCCAGGGAGGTGGGTGAGACCCAAGTTGTTATTCCTTGGTTGTAATAAATGGGTTTTCAGAATAAAGCGATTAACTATCACTTGATGTCACTGCTGTATAAATTAACTCGTCTACCATTCGCACATTGTCTAAAGGGAGGAGTGGATATAAGCTCCAAAAGTTGCATGACAACCCTTCTTGGAGCTTATTGCTCATGTGCGGCATTAGCCATTTGAATTAACGGTACAAACTCCATTGCTCTGCACAGACACCTCGGCGTCATCCTGAACAGTGGACGAATCACTATCAATACAATGTCTTATGAAATTGTTATTATACCTTTGGTTCTGAAGCTATTGAAGGTGAAAATTTTGCAGGTTCTTTAATATTTCTACGTAATCTGCGTGGTGCGGCTGTATCCACCTCTGGTGCTTTATCTGAGTCTGAGGACTTACAGCAATCTGAACACTGCCTGTAAGAGGAAAGAAGAATAATCAGTAATGTATATGATAAACTCCTGACATATGGTAACAGGGATCACTCTCACTGTTCCTTTCTTCAAACAGTGCTACAAGGTCTTTATAAAATAGAAACCTTTTTTATATTTCATTACTTTCAGTTATATCATACTCTTCTCCAAATGAAAGTATTTTTAACTAGAGAACTTTAATTTGTAAATGATTATTACAAAATCACCTAACTGGAATAATAAAAAAAATGTGGTCAAATGAATGAATAAAAAAATATCAACAATACTTATTAAATATAATGACATATTAATGCTAGTATGTGTCACTTATCTCAAATCTCTGCCAGAGAAGTTCAGAAATTGAAATGTACTAAAATAAGGTGAAATAGGCATGATATGAGCCATGGTCCTGTAAACAATACCAGAATAATCTATGAATGATGACATGCAACATGAACCAACCAAACCCTATTTAATCAGGAAATAACCTCAACATCATCATTACATAAGGTCCGGCTTGGTTCAGCTGATTCTGGTTGTTTATCAACATTAAACAGTTTACACTCACCTTGTTTAAAACACTATGCCACTCATAGTAGGCCCACTCCATCTTACTCTTTCACATTTTCACTCATTCAACATAGTTTTGGAATGATGAATTGTTGTTTCAAAATAAAAATAAATTTTGTGTGATTTTTGTAGGGAAACTCTGCCAACAATTACACAAAACTAATCTGAATTATAATTTACCTCCAAAATTTCAACATACTTTCCTGTACTTGGAGAGACTTTGTTCAGAAAACCAGAAAAATTTACAAATCTAAATATCTCTCAGCCCCAAAACCACTGGATTTCCAAGGTTATACAGTAAACAGATCATACCTATCATCAAAGTAAAGAAATTCAGGATCATGTGGGAACCAACATCCTTACCAGGCTTCAAGAATATACACCATGATCATACAAAGAATATAACTGGGATGGGGTTATGGTAGTGCACACAATGTCATAATATCCTCAAAGTTATTTGAAGATACATTACAATTTTCAAATTTAAACTGATTTTAGTAAAATCCAAGAACTTAAAAAATAAATTAATTACATACCAGCCCATTTGCTTGGTCTTCTTAGGCATACGAGTGAGAGGTGGATCTAAACAAGACAGGTGGTAATAATGTCCACAGGTATCACACTCGATCTGTAAATGCTGCTCCTTTGTCAGCTGGCAGACACGACATCTATTGAGTGTCAGAGAACCTGATACTGTCTCTGAAAAAGGAAGTGAAAATTATCAATTAGTATATACTGTATATATATACTGTACAGTATTGGCTTCCTTACACAAACACATCCTTCCTTACTTCTCTCAATACATAAAAATAATGACTATGTTATTTGTGCAACAACATAACCAGCAAGTAAGGGAATCAGTGATATAGACAGAAATAAATCTTAACAGCAACTGACTAACTCAGTTATTCATTCCTAAGAAAATACAGTATTCCTGAAATAACATAATATGTAAATAACTAAAATCTGGATTTAAGCCAAAGAAAACATGCTATGTTACAACTGTATATCATTGTGGGCTGCAACAAGCTCAAGAGGATGTATGTTTACAGGTATACCTCACTATAAGTATGTCAGACATTCATTCTTGAAAAGTGCGACATTAAGTTACACAATGTACTGCACTGTACTGTACAGTATAGTGAATAGAAATGTACCAGATATTTCTAGTCAAAATGTTAATTAAATACCTAAAGTTGTTACTGTAAGTTACAATAATATTTAGATATAAATTATATGTCAATGAGATAACATTTGAGGCACCCCGCATCGTATGGGTTATTCGAGCAAAAATTTGAGACTGAGAAAGCACAGTTAAGTTTTTCCAACTTCAAACATGCATAATTTTTTTTTTGAGATACAGCATTCATTTTGATGCATTTTGAAGCTAAAGGACTGTACTTGCAGATGGTAGGTAGCGAGTCATGAAGTAATGTATACATGTACTGGGTTATTGCAATGTTGACTTGAAGCAACAAAACTCCCACCCACTTATGGCTTTTTTTACTTTAATTGATATCAGAGTGTAGATCCCGTCACATCAAAGGAGAACTGAGGGAGAGGGAGAGAGGGATTCCGCCTCATTGGCTGGAGGGGCCGTGACGTAGATAGCAGACGCTCACTGTGGTTGGCCGAGATGGGGGAGGAAGCTGTAGGCCGGCCGCTGTGATTGGCCGTCCGCTCCTCTCACTCACTCACTGACAGGATGAGAGCACCTGACGATGCGAAAGCCAAGCCCATAATTTCCTGTCTGCCAAAAATCGATGTTCTACCCTATTTTCAAAGGGCTTTCAACCTTATTTACAGTGTAGTAAGGAGATCTTATCAACTACCATCGTATAGAGCTTGGCAGAAAATAGTGTTTTCCAACAAAAAAGGGTTTCACCCAGATGGTCTGAATGCACCTTACAATGCGGGACGTCTCATTTATCCGAGCTGGTTAAGGAGATTGCTTAGTAGAGGCTGGATGGGGTGGGGTGTGGTGGAGTTATTGAGATGAAGCAGATGAAGGCTGGACATATAAAATATTGGTATAAAGATAGCTGGACAGCTTTTTTAATGTTCTGTTTGTACAGGTCTTTGGAGCAGTTAATATCATCAGTTATTCACTTCATAACTGTAGAGCTGAGCTCTGTTTGGATCACATTCACTGAAGCTGGTAGGTAGGCAAAGCACTCTGGTGATGCAAACACTCATTCACCAGCTTCAAAATGACTTAGAACGTCTAATTTAACCATTAGATTAATACTTTGCCTTGTTTTTTCTTAACACAGGCAAAATATCACAGGCTGGGCATTTCCACTCATTGTACAGGGTGTTGATAATGTTTTACTACTGTAAAGATATGAGATCAAGTAAATGTGGCAGTGATGCATAAACTAACATTGGGAGGGGATTTGGTTGTTCAATATTCTTAGGCTACCCAAAGTAATCCACCACAGTCAGGTAATATTATTTTTAATTTTTTGGAAAAAATACTTAAGCGTTTTTTCTCAAATTCATCAACAATGTATAAGCAAAATAATGTACAGTATAGTGAGGAATACCTATACGGTATTTGGAAATACCGGAAAGCATACATGGGAGTACAGTACAAAGGAAAAATAGATAACACGTGACCTATGACAAGATTATCTACTAGAGTACAGTAATAATGACAAGCTTTTTATTCTAGACTGATGAGGACAGGACAATAAAACAGAAAGCTCCTCCCTACACACCACACCCTCTGACATGTTGATTGGCTTTATAATAGTGATGACAGAACACCATATACTACACTGTAGTATAAAGGGGCAATCACACTTGTGCATTTTTCATCCAATGTCGCCTCCAACCTTTGGTCAGATTGGCCCTGTTTCTGAACGAACTATCATATGTGACATCACGTATGTCCATCTCCAAGCTCAAACCATAACAATAAATATGGTGGAACTCTTAAGGATGACAGACTACTCAACAGGGAAAGCAGTGTGGGGTATCCCTTTATTTTCTCAATAAGATAAGCTTCTGATTAATTATTCCATGTCAGTAAACAGAAATCAAATCTATACAAACTCACAAATGAGCATAATGTTCACTATAGTACTGTTATTTTGGTACAGTATATACTTATTTCTGAATACAATTTCAGTCTTATCACGTTCTGGATGTGCAGGTGTCCAATAATTCTTCACACTTATATTATGTGTATATACAGTAGATAAAATTAGCGTAAGTCATTCTGAACATGCAACTATAGTACATTAAATACTTGCAAAGAGAAGAACTTGAGCAGGTGAAATATCTGGAATACTGTAGATTCTACCCGGGTCTCCCTTGAAGAAGAGTACCAGAAAAAGGAGGCACTGAAGACAGCCAGAAGACAATAACAATGGCAGAAACATTTACCTTGAAATCTGACAGGCCAGCACTCACCTCCTGCTGGTGGTGCCTGCTCTGTCATCATCATTTTAGCTGCTGCTTTAGTCATGATTGGCCCCCTTAAACTGCCTTTTGGCAGTGGTCTAGTGGGCAGTGGAGGGCTTGGAGGGTTGTGCAAGGCAGCTACAACAGGTGGGAGGGGGAGGGGCCGCCCTGCAAGGCCTTTGAGAAGATCGTGAAGTTCTAGGGCTTTATTCAATAGTATATCATTTTCAGATTTCATGTTTTCACAGTCTGACTCCATGTGGTTACATCTGTAGTGATAATAATAAAATTAATTTGACGGAAAAACAAAACATAACAAAACAAAAAGTTAAAGATGAACAGCATTTAATTTAAATAAATGGTTGTAAGTCAAATGGGCCCATTTCTAAATAAGTTAAAACTTAACATGGCCAAACCATTAAAACTGGGACCCATTGGACTTAGAACTTAACCTCATTACTATTGTCCAGGTCAAGTTTGGATGAGACCAATGAAGATTGGGAACTCTTTGACAAGTAACCAAATACAGGAAACTTACTAGATATCTTCACATATAATAACAAGACCACATGTATGCACTTTAGAATTAGAAAACCATAATAAATGATAACAATCAATGAAAATAAAAATCCAGAGGAGATTACCAGAAATGAAGATTCACACACTCACTGTTACCAAAATGATGTCCATAAAGCTACAGCATCCCACTCTCTCACCAGCCATGAATTCTATTAACCCATACTATCTCAATGTGCAATCATCCACTCAAATTCCTGAAGATTTTCAATCACATACATTGTCCTTAGCCAATCCGTAAGCTGTTTATCTTTACTCCTTTTACCATAATCTATCAGTTAACTGAAACTTCTCAAATCATATCACCATTTATTCTCACACAAAATTTTTTGACAGCGATCAGAAGATCTCTCTGTACTCAATTCAGAAGTCAACACTTCCCACAATGACTTCTTTATCATGTTTATCCTTAATCAATAAATGCATCATATACTGTACAGTTGACACTTGGTAGCAAACAGGGGAAACAACAAAAAGGAGGAGAAAAGATGACATCAGTTGATACTGTACACATTAAATCTTGCAGTGAACTGGAAAAATACCCCAACTCACTTGACTCTTAGCTCTGTCTCCTCTTGCACTAACTGTGAATTTTCAGTAAGAAGTGAATCTAGACGGTCTTTCATCTCAGACAGACGATTTGTGCGGTCTAGATAGTAACTGATGAACTCTACACTGTAATAGATAAATTAATATAAGAATATAAACACAGAAAATCACAAATAAGTGATTTTAGACAAATTTATTTACCACATTCACACGAGTACTTTTACCTAAATCTGCTATACTATATAATGATGAAATAATAACAAACAGTAATTTTACACTTGTTTTGCAAAATGTGATGGGCCACCAACCCACCATTCATTTTATCCCTAAGAGGCATAAAACATTTTTTTAACAATTAAAATTTCTACACTCACTTGAATGCTGGAGGTATATGCCACTTCTTTCTTATGTCCCCAACATTTGTGGACTGAGATGGTTGAGATTCGGTGCTAAGGCCCATCAGTTCGGTTTTGTGCAACAAAGAGCGAAAGAGAGAGGCTGATGTGGACAGTGCTCTTGGCATCTTCTGCGTTGGATCTGGATATCAAAAGAGATACTTTAATAGATTTTAACCTCATAATATCAAGTAAAGACAAATTTATTCACATGTAAATGTGAAATAATACTAAGGATGGAAATGAAACATATCTGAATCATATAGCAGGTAGTCCCCGACTTACAACTGCATGGACTTACGTCCATCGGTACTTACAACCTGCTCTGACCTAACGACCGTCGGGACATACGACCGCGGCAGTCGTGACCAAAAATATTTTCAAATGACGCGCGCATTTTCTATACCGAAACGTTCTGTCCCGGGCGATAGCGTGGTTCGGCTGGGTCGCCGCGTGGGTACACTCACTCAGTGGAGCGCTTAGTTGGTGTTTCGCTATCGTATCCTATACTGATCGCGCTGTGAACTTTCGTTATTATCGTATATAATTGACTTTATAATGACTGGAAAGAGTAAAAGTGAGAGTGCTGGTGGTGCTCCAAGAAAAAGGAGACAGGCAATTACTTTTGAGATGAAAATGAAGATAATAACTCAGCATGAGAATGGAAAGACTGTAGCAACAATCTCACGTGACCTAGGTTTCTCACACTCGACCATATTCACTATTCTGAAGGACAAGGAAAGTATTCGTGATGTAGCGAAAGGAACAACACCAATAAAGGGAACTATAATTTCAAAGAAAAGACAAGGTCCTATTCACGATATGGAAAAATTATTGGTGATATGGATAGAAGACCAGATACAAAAGCGAGTACCCTTAAGCCTTCTAACCATACAGGCTAAAGCAAGAAGCCTGTTCCAAAGCCTGAAGGAGCAGGCAGGAGATGAATGTGATCAAACCTTTACAGGAAGTCATGGGTGGTTTGATAGATTTAAAAAACGCTACAGTCTACACAATGTTAAGGTGAGTGGAGAGGCAGCTAGTGCCGATGTTGGTGTTGCCGAAGCTTTTAAGGAGTTAGATGAAGTGATTGTTGAAGGGAATTATTTGCCTGAGCAAATATTCAATGCGGATGAGACTGGATTATTGTGGAAGTGCATGCCTGAGCGGACATACATCCACAGAGGTGAAAACAAAGCCAGGATTCAAGGCATTCAAGGGCAGAATTACACTTCTGTTGGGGGGGAATGTTGCTGGTTTCAAGCTAAAGCCCTTCATGATCTATCATTCAGAGAACCCCAGGGCTTTTAAAAATGTCAGCAAGCACACACTGCCAGTGTTTTATCGCAGTAATAAGAAAGCCTGGATGACCTTAGCACTGTTTGAGGATTGGTTCATGACTTGTTTCATTCCATGAACCAAGGAGTATTGTCTGCAACAACGGATTCCCTTCAAGATTTTGCTGATTTCGGATAATGCTCTGGGACACCCACCACACCTGGACAACATGCACCCTGATGTTAAGGTAGTCTACATTCCACCTAACACTACCTCTATCATCCAACCCATGGATCAAGGTGCTATTGCTGCCTTTAAAGCGTATTATTTACGCACGACCTTCGCTCAGGCTGTTGCTGCTACTGAAGGTGAGAAAATGCTCAGAGAGTTTTGGAAGGAGTACAAAGTTTTGTCATGTATAAAGAACATTAGTGCAGCATGGGATCAGGTTACAAAACATTGCATGACTGGAATATGGAAGAAAACCCTGAAAAGATATGTGAACAGTTTTAGAGGATTTAATGAAAATGAAGTATTTCGGATATTAGTAACAAGATAGTGGAGTTAGGTAAACAGCTGGAGTTAGAAATTGATACTGAAGATGTTGGACAGTTGGTTGAAAGTGTAGCAGAAGAGCTCAGTAACGAGGATCTCATTGAACTAGATGCACAGAAAATTGCAGAGGAAGAAGAGAGACAAAATGTAGAAGAAGAACCTGTACCCCCCAAAAAGTTTTCAGTGATACAAATGGCAGAGGCATTTGCTACAATTAATAAAGGAATGCAAATGTTTGATGGCATGGATCAAAATTATGAGCATTATGCCAAAGTTGACAGAATGGTCCAAGAGTCACTTGCTTGCTACAGGGAGATTTACAATGAAAAGAAAAAGCAAACTGTAAAGTCTAAATTGGACATCTATTTCAAGAAGTCCCCCAGTACTGTCTCCTCACGCCCCACCAGTGCTGCCTCTTCACTCCCTCAAGATGATCCAATACCTTCAACCAGCAAGTTTCCACAGTACATAAACCTGTCTGAAGAAAGCGACATTGATGACCCACCAGCCTTGTCTCCTCCTCTGCTTCATCCAATTAATATAGTCTCCATGTATCCTGTAAATAGAAAATTATGGGGGCCCCATGTGCATTCAGCTGACTACATTAAAGGTAAGTGCTCAGTCACACTGTATCCATTCCTCATTATTTATTACTTTTACTGTACTGTATTTCATTGTAGATTATTGTTTTGAATTTTTTATTTTTATTTTTTATTTTTATCTATGTCAGACTTACGACCATGTCAGACTTACGACCATGTCAGACTTACGACCTGGATTCTGGTCCCTAACCCCGTCGTAAATTGGGGAGAGACTGTACAGCATTAGTAAGCTTAATAAGAACAAAAGTTATCAGAAGATAACTTGCCTGCAAAGCAAATCGATGTTATAATATAACTGCAAAACTTTTGGAGTAACTATGATTGCTTAAAAGGGTTAAACACTTCAGCAATGCTAGAGGTATGGCAAAAGCTCTTCTATATTTCATGAGGACAAGCACAAATTGGGCAATGAATAAATAAACTAAACTAATAAAAGTGTGTCACCACCAAATGGTAATTGTGCTCAGGGTATTCTGAGGCAATATCACATCAAAAGGATGGAAGACAACAGTACGGAATGTGTAATTAGCAGCATGAGTTTAATGGCAAGAAAATACATGAAATATACCAAAAGACACAATACAGGTACTGTATGTATAATATCCTTAAAAAAAAAGTTGGAGTAGATGAAATAAGGTAAACTTGAGTACAGTACATAAATAATGCACATGAACACGATGCATGCAGAAGAAAGAAGTAAGGAAGACATAAATTGCATGATGAAATGATGGCAAGAGGCCAGTTAAAGAGGAGCATGAGGTTCATAAACCAATGCCATACCATAAAGTATGTAGTACTGTACAGTGAGCCCTCAGTTCAGATCACACAGGGTTATTTTCTTCAATACATGTGTAGTTCATACTAGTGCATACTGAGTTTAACTTCTTATGAGATATGAGAGGATGCGTTCCTGGATCTCAAAAAATTACTTTTTCACCACTCAAAATCTCATTTTTCAAAAAGAAATACACAGCTTTCAAAGTAAACACAATATTACAGATAATGTATATAACTTGGATAGTGTGCTTACAAACACTTTGCAGAACTTAGACACAGATTCCCTCTAAATGATTATTATTTTTTTACTCCAGCTATTTTTCCTTCACAATTTAGGTATGATAACTCAATAATAATGACTTTATGATAAAGGTCAGAGGTTCTGCTACTGCCTGGAGAAGAGGTACTGGGTTCCCTACTTGTACACTCACAGAACTACAAAAATTAATGATTTCCTGTACAGCACATTATATGAAATCCTGTAAATGATACCCTAATTACTTACACCAAGGAGTGGGTCTATTATTCTTATTGAAAAGATACTTGTCTCGGTAACGCCCGAGTTTACGTTGAATGCGATCTTGAGTTTCCTGACTGGATCCAGATTTATCTGCCTCTCCTTGTTTCATGTGAAGTTGTAGGGCCAACCAGTTTCTTTTTCTTCGCCTTTTATAAAAAAAGCAAAGACAAACACACTCACAAATAATGACAAAAAATAATGTGTTCAATAAACACAGGGTATGTTCCATAGGTGCAAAATATTTACTGAACAGCTTGAAAATCTGAATCAGGTGATCCAAAGATGCATATAAAGAAACTTACAGAAATTTACAGTTCTATGCTCAATACTTTTTGTGTAAATCTGCTAACCACAATGGGTGAGACAACATTTCCTAAGGTTGGATGGTAAGATACAAACCAATACAAATATGAGTATTTCAATAAAACAAATTGAATATCATTATCACAATTTAAGGCAGGTTAAAGTTTTTTTTTTAATTAGTATTCACTGTGAACTTACCTTATGAGCTCCCTGTCAGTGTGCAGTTTGCAGTGAGCATAGTATGGGTCAGCTTGGTCAGCTTCACCATGATTCACCTCAGACAATAAACCTTCACGTTGAGCACTGTCAATAACAACACATATACAGTATTCTGTATATATTTAGTACTGCATACTAATATTACTACTTATCAGTATGTAAAGTATACCAAGTGTAGAAAAAAGGTACATTACAACTAAGGACTAAAATTGTGACCAAACCAGCAAAAAGTAATTTCTTTCGTGATAAAGGCAAGATAATTGTATTCTTCAGTGAACAAGGACGGCCTTATAACCTTCTGTACTTCATTCAAATGATCAAGACAAGACTAAAAATAAAAAATTTCCCTTCCTTATTGTAAATTTCCAAATCTTAAATGTACTGTACTCCATATGCATACTCTCAAAAGAATTTTCACTGTATCTTTCTTAAAACAAGTTAATGGTATTTCTGTCTAGTAATTCATCCTTTAAAGTATAGAAATGGTAATACTGAATTAAATATTCTAATGAAAAAAAAATTATTTATGTCTGATAATTATCTAACACACAATGGTCTTTGACAAAAATAAACAAGAGAAGCATCCTTACCATGTAACATGAAAGTAGGCGCGACACATCCCAGCATCACAGCCAATACACACGCCAGTCTTGGAATAACGTTCATCCTCACAAAGCGTACATGTTTTAGAACCCCACCTGCTATATGGCATTTCAAACAATGTTGGGAAGGAGAGCTTATCCACCTAATAAAAAATAAACATTGAAAGATACATATCATCACAGTAAAGTAAGGCAACATTACACACAGCAAAATTTCATGATCTGAACACAGGGCAGAGAATAATATGAATGATAAGAAAAGCTAAATTACCAAACCAACAACATAATGCCTCCATTGCCATTAAAGCTGAGAAGTAACACAGAAGCCAAAATGGCTCCAAGTTCAGTCATCTGGAGTAATCCTGGGCTACCATCACGTATGAAATAACTGAAACTGCAATCTAAGGCAGGTTTACAGAAGTGAAAAGTCTTTGGAAAATGGTCTATCTACTATTGTACTTTCATTTCCAAGATATTCACTCGGTCTTTCCTTACTGTAACTCTGTGTATGTCTATCTATAAACATTCCTTTGAACTTAAAGTGCCAAGACAGTGACACAACATTCCTTCTTTGCCAAAGGCTTCACGAAAAGTACAAAAAGAAGTCATAAAATCATACTTACTTCACTAAAGGCAACACCAGGGATATACAAGGCACACACCAAGTGCACCCATCTCCCCATCTCTGTTTCCTTGAAAATTGTATGGCCTGTAAAGAATGAATTCCCTATCACAATTAGTAAATATAAGCTCGTCATTTTGAGGATTCAAAGAATTTGTTTTTTGTATCATTTCCCCCTTATAGGCCTCAGGGTAAAAGGCACAATTATAATATAAATCTTCCATACATTAGTACTATTTAGAAATAGACAAAAGTTTATACCTGTACAGGGTATTAGCAATATTTAAGATGTTAAATAATACAGATTCTTAGGCAGTCCATCCCAAAAGAAAACTCTTATTATAAGCATTTAGATCTATGCTGTATAATCAATGATAGGATAAATGCTTGAGTAATAATGATTATATAGTACTGTACAGTATTCTGAATTCTAACAAAAGATAATATAAAGTTATAACACCTACATTTCAATCATTATGACAGGTACACATCATGCAATGAGCAGCTTTCATCACTTTAGATACCTGTACTCAGGTTCAACTACAGTGGTGAGTAAATATTATTGTAATATCTGTATTCACATTGCAGTTGAACGTCTACATGACTGGTACAACCCATGATCCATAAAGTGGTCTCACAACATAAAAAATGGGGTTCGTAATTATTTCATGTTTGTAGTGCTTTATCCACATGAAGTTCATGATACGACTAATCCAATGTGATAATGTAATAGCCTTACCTAGATTTGGACAGAGTTCACACGGTGGATCAACGACGCCTGCCTTACAGGCGTCACAAAACCAAGGTTCTGTGGAACTTGATGAAACTGTGCTTGATACTGATATTGAGTCACTAATACCATAGCAACCTTCGTGGACAGACACACTACATCCATCACAGGTCACTATTTCATTGACATCATCGGAATGATCACCAAGACATACGGCACACACCAAGATCTTTGGACGTTCCACTCCCTGGAAAATGTTATATTTTTGTAATGATGTACTGTACCTAGATATAGTGAAAGCATAGAGGATAAACTTCATTACCTACTATAACAATATTAGATGGTTAGTGTAGGGTTTTATAACTCAGTTGGTACTGCTCTGAGTTCTAAATGTATTGTACTGACAAACAAGTACTGTACCTGATATTGTCCTGCATCCAGGCAAACTAGAGGGGTATTGTTGTTTATGGTGTATGCAGAACTAGTTCCTCAGTCATATAAAAGCCCTATATTAAGCTAATTCATTTCCTTTGTTACTTCCTTCCAATATAAATAATTTACATTGTGCATTTCCTCCCCAAATACTGTACAGTACAATACTCATCTGCTAATATTGACTCTCTCTTTAAATGTCTATTATTACCATAAACATATATCTATAACTCTCTCTAAAAGGTCCTCTCAAGGCTTGTCCTCCACCATTTTCCTTACCCCATTCTACCACACACAACTGACAAAATTCATAAATTGACAAGCATTTACTGGAAGACTTACTGAGAGCATTGCAATTAAAGTAAAAGTACAGTATATTTATAAATTGCATTCTGTCATTTATATAGCATTGTAGTGACCAAGATCATTGATCTTAACACAAAAATCATAATATGACTGAAGTATAAGCCATATGTGAAGTTTGATGAAGCTATATGTAGCAGAACTCAAGATACTATTGTGCACAAACTTGTGTGATAGCAGGAAAATAGAAACATTATGTCCTTTGACTTTCCTTAGAAAGGCAAAAAAGCTCAAATAAAATATCAATATAATACAATAGATTATATTACCTAATATATAAGTTACTGTATACTGTACCCTTGTCATGTTCTTGGTAAATATGTTATAGGTACTGTACCTCTAAGACTTGCTTCTTCTTAGCCTGTTCCAACAGCTGGGTGACACTCATATTCTTTTCTTTTTCAGCAGGTACTTCAATCTCTTCTTCACTTTCTTCATCATCCACATCATCACCATCCTCATCATCATCATCATCATCATCAATATCAGGGGCATCTGGGTCACTATTGATGGAGATATCATCATCATCATTCAGTTTGGCTTCATCTACGTTAAAGTCACTGTCGTCAGAACTCTCTCCCAAATCTAATTCTGCTAGGTCAACCAGTGCAGCTTTTGATGGTTTCACCTTCCTCTTCCCTGGTTCACGGTCCACTGTAAATTAAAAAAAAAATGTTAAAACCCATATTTTACTGCCACAGAACTGGAAATTCATGAAAATGTCATCACTACCAAGCCCAAAGAGAGGCTCAAGCACACACTGGTCTTGATTTTTTTTTACAACAGACAAATTCAGTCAGTCAGGCTGCAGTGATGGCCATGCTTGCTGGGAGATTCCATGCCTCTTATTATAAACCATGGCTTGTGATTGTGTTGGTAGCCAAGTTACTGACTCATAAAGATTCCTCAAAAAGGGGCCTTAAACATTAAATATGACAGGCAAAATGAACCTACCAAACCTAGCCTAATTAAAAAATAATTTACTTTTAGATTGGTGGGATATATAAAACAAGTTAAGTTAAATTCGGTTGGTTTAGTTTGCCAGTAATCATCAATGGCTTAGGTCTGAAGTGTCCCTGAAGGATCCTTGTTTACATGACTTTGGGATAAAATAAACGAAGTGGTTATTTTTCCGGTGATGGACCTTTACTTACTTGCAGTGCCATACGTATTGATTACTTCACTGTGACCAGACAAATTACCAGTTTAAAATATACAAGAACAAAAGTCATAAGAAGAACAGTCTAGCCAGCAAACTCTTCTTAAATACTGTACTATCAACTTTGTTCTCACTTTTTTCTTTTCTTTTTTAAATCCATAAATTATTATAATTAAGGAACACGTGAATATTAGAAAACATTAATATGAACTTACTTTTATGAAGTGTTAATTTTGGGTGGGGAAAGTAGTGACTTGCAAATTATTTATAGCAGCTGAGACTCTGTATTTACTACATATAAGAAACAGGGCTGTAGACCACTGCCTCCATGTACTCTACTCCGGCTAATCAAGTAAATCAAAACAAATCATCACAGAACTATGTCAGATTTTAGCAGGAACAAGCCAAAAAGACTTGTCAAATTCAATATATTTTCTTTAAAGTTTTTTATTAAGAATTACAGTCATACAAATGGTATTATGTACTGTAATGATTTCTTACTAATTCAAAATGTATTCAATCCTTTCTAGTGATTTAACACTGTAATGGCACACACCTACTGGAGTAATTACAGCATAGAGTGGTCATACTGGTGCTTAAGGATTGTTTTTAAGTCAATTTTCCAAAAACCCATACAAATACTGATCAGGTTCATATTTTTTTTACATATCATATCTTATATTGTTTTACCCCCTCCATCCATTTCCTCTACAAGAAGCAGTGGTTAGTAGTTCTGTAAATAAAGTTCATATCACAAATTATTATTACATTAATAACTTTACCACAACACTCTTTCTTCTCATTATCTGTGAACTGTATACTTTGGCTATAAGAATCATTTCCATAACTTGTATCACAATATTAAGTTAATGATACGAATATGTAACATTTTATGGTTATCATATACTGTACTCATATTATATATAAGTAATTATTGTTAATGAAGCAGAGTAAAATATGGAAGCAGTGTAGCATAACCAATGTACAAAAAGACAAACCCTAATTTGCAAATATGTTTCTATTAACTTTCTGATTATAACGGTTAGTGAATGGCACAATTTCTTCAATACATATCTAACAGGAATAACATTAATGACTAATGATGATGAGACAAACATTCATTCTTAAATTAGTGTTTACAGTCAAGGCATCAATTAACAACACACTTATTTATCCCTAACAGATACATAATCCCTGACATTCATATTACCATTGGAATCTGTTAATACAAATAGAGACACAAAGTATATATAGTGTTAGTAGCTGGTGTGAAGTCAAATCACCGCGCCCATCCCCCCCGCGGCCAATCCTAAACACCTAACTCCACTCTCCTTCCTATCACAAAATCACCATCAATATACCTCTGATGGTAGTTTACTATTAATCAAATATCTCTTTATATCTTAAACATGTAATTTAATAATTTTAAGAATGACATTACACTTAACTTACCCATTGCCTGAAGAAATAAACCAACAGTGTCATTTTTGCTTGCCTTGTTATCATTCGCCATGTTAGCGGCGTCTGCTGGAGCAAAGTGACCCTCAAGGAGCGCAACCTGTGTGTTTAATTCATTTTTCTAACTTATCCTGGTTTACAACATCAATATTTCATCATGCACACAAAACAAATGTGCATACCTGAGCATACACGTACGCATATGCACCAAAAATCTATTGATTCGCTAAATTGAAATTGAATACTCGTGTAGATGTACAGTATCAGTTCTTATTGAAAATGCATGTATGTGGGATTTTGTTAACGTGCATATGTAAAAAGTGTGATCAGCAATGCATCAATAATTACAAGCGTGTGAACTTAACTGTGTTGTTTATAATGCACTTGAAAACACCATAGATAATGCCACCATGGACCATCTGTAACACATAACAATCTTAACTTAAATAATTTAATGTTACGGAATACCAGCTTGGATTTATACCAAGATGCCCCTGCTGAACACAGCTTCTGGGGGTCACAGTTTCTGGGTCTGGACCATGGTGGTAAAATAGACTGTACACGTTAACTTACTATACATACTTAATCAATGATTACTTTATCGGTGTTGGCATGAATCTTGCTGAGAACATCCTCACCAAGAGGAATTTAGAGCCTTCCTGCAAAACATACAGCAAAATATACTGTTCTTGTCCCCTATCCTGGCAAATGAATTATTAAACACCATAAAAATGTCCAAAGATGCAGCAACAGGCGACGACAACTTACCAATGAATATCATCAAGAAAATGGCACCCCTATTACCACCTGTTCTCTTACATAATTACAAATTCACTAGTGGTGTCTTTCCTGATAAATTGAAAGTTGCTAAAGTTCATCCAGCATATAAAATTCAGGCGATTAAGGTCTTTTCAAGGACCATCGCTCATATTAGTCCTCTCAGCCTTAAGTGAGATAATCGAGAAGCCAGCATGTAGTAGACAAAACTTGTGCAGTGACAGTCGTATCGTTACAGATTCTCAGTTTGGCTTCAGAGCAAGGTTAACCCAGAGTGCCCTGCTGTCCTCTATCAATGACATCTTGAACTCCTTTGATGACAGTCAGTTCACAGTCGGAATATTCATGGACTTCAAAAACCTTTGATACCGTTGACCGTACCATCTTAATAATAATGATAATAATAGCTGGTCTTTTGTTTCACAAAAGCACCAGTTCTTTTAAAGAATTCACTAGCGCTTGAAGCACTACAAAGACTTGACTCATAATAAAATGAAATACTGTATTGCAATAATAGATCACAGAAAATGACAGTTCGATTTCTATCATTCCTATGCCCTTAAGTTTTAATACTTCCTAAACCCTGTATTATCCATCAATATATCCTGTTCAGGATCACTACATAAAAAAAAGATCTTAAGTTGTTTCTTAAAGGCCTCCACAGTTGTCAGTTGCTTCTTTTACTTTTTACTTTTATCCTCTTCACCATTGATCGGCTCGGTAGCCACTTGGGCGATCGGTCAAGTCTCTGTTACGCACTGTCGGCAAATAACAGGCATGTACCGGCTCCTGAATGTACCTGAACCTGTTCCATTGCTGGTCAAGTCTGGTCTTGAAAGAGCTCACACTCGGTGCCGTCACAACACTTTCTGGTAGATTGTTCCAAGAGTTCACAACTCTCACTACGAAAAAGTTTGCACTCACAGTTTTCTGGACTTAGGGCTTCTTCAATCTTGAGCTGTGACCCCTTGTGGGGCGAGCGTCCGCAAGCTCCAATAAAGGACACTCGACTGAGGAATGCCCCTTGAGATGCTTATACACCTCAATTAGGTCGCCCTTTGTCCGTCTGTAGTATAAGCTAGGCAAGTTCAGGCGCTTCATGGATGGAGGCAACCGATTGTACAATCTGGAATATTACAAGCTAGAATATTATGGCGTCAAAGGCTTATCCCACAAATGGTTTGCCTCTTATCAGTAAGTCGGTTATAACAATCAGCAGTAGGACTCCTTACCTATTTTGCCTCGGCCCATTACTGTTCTTGTTGTACATAAATGACATAGTCCACTCCAACACCTTCGCAAACTACAATTTCTTTTCAGACGATAATAATTTATGCTAGTCACTCAGATTTTCATTCCTTAATGAGAATCATAAACCGTGAATTGACTAAAGTCAGGAACTAGATAACATGTAATAAACTTCGAAAAAACCCACTACACAATCTTTCACCGAAGAAAAAGCTTACCTCCACATCTGGACCCCCTGTACCTTGGTAGTAGAGTCATCAAACGTGAACAGAATAATAAATTCCTGGGAGTTTTGGTTGGTGATAAACCAAACTGGCGAAACCACATGCAAACTACTAACAATTAAATCAATAAACGGTAAGGTAGCCAATACCACGCTCGTCAGTCACTCACTCTTGCAGCAATGAAAGAAATCTACCATGATTTTGTTTACCAATACTTGATTCACTGTCATACACTATGGGGGCCCCTGGCACCCACATCCTCTGCTTGAAGGGTTATGCGGACAATGACTGACAGTAATTGAGAGCAAAAAACTGATCACACAAACGAACAGTTTGCTAAATTATGTGGCTCTGATCAGAGGCACACACGGTAAAAGAAGTATCTATCCCCACTCGGTGTGAAACAATATGGTATACACGGACGAAGGATTTTGACAACCCTACGTGTCCAGACCCATCTGGACAGATACCGCCGGGCCCACCCTTCCCATCTACTTTTCTACTTTACACTTTTACTGTACTATTAGAAACCATTATATCATATACTGTCACGTTGATAGAAATTATCATTGCAATGAATATACCACTGGTCTGCTTCCCTCGTCCTTGTTTGACCCTAACACCTCCCATGTTGTATCACTTTGATCCACTTATCAGATTACTGTATATCAACTATACTCTGCTGTAAAAATGTGTGTATGTTTATAAAATATAAAGAATAAAAATGTGATAAACGTGATAGCATTTAATACATATTTACTAACGCCATGTTGCATGTTGTAATCCGAGTTAATAATATTATATATTATATAATAATTCCTTGCGATAAATGTACAGTGTACTGTATACTATATCAGGTGCCACTAAGAGGGCTCAGGCTCTCGGTTTAGCATGGTCAATGTTTTTGTAATTGTCCACCCTGTATCTGTATTTTTCTGACTAAATAAACTGTTTCAATATCAATATCAGCCGTATAAAAAGCTGCAAATCAAGTTGAACGGTCATGGGATACGGGGATACCATAGATCAGTGACTTTATAATAGTAGAAATATAACATCAGATGTTATTCACTCGTCCATTCAAATGTTGGCCGATACACTAAGAGTAGTTGCAGGAATGGATAAAACAAGTGAGAGTAGTCGGGAAGGAAGTCATATTAACGCTTCAAGGTTAAACAAACAATAGTTTAAAATATGATCTTGATGAAGGGCCTAATCTGGTTATACAAGACACTGGTGACCCTATATGTAGTTCGCTAATCCAGTATGGTATTCCCACAAGCTGAAGGACATCCACGTAACGAAAGTGTTCGAGATTGACAATTAAATTGGTGTACCAGCGAAGGAACTACTTATGAAGCAGTATAAAAACGCTAAAAGATTCCATGACATGTGGGGCTGTGATTGGAAAGATGATGCAAGAAATACTTCACGGCGGTGCTCATTGTCCAACACTGAGGCTAGATATCGGAAATACTGTACCAGAGTTCAGAGTTCAGAGGTATAGAAGACTCGTTCACAAAACAAGCTATGACAATGCCTATTCTCACTGTGTATCGTGGACGTGAGTAACAACTTATCTGAGCGGGAGAGGTCGGATATCCAAGCGCATTGACCTTTGACAGACAAGTACTGTAGATAAGCACTGAGTATAGATCAATATGCTTGATAACAAATCTCGAACCGTATATTGTAAAGCAAATAGTTCAATCGCTAGAGTACCGACTGCTACTATAAACAGGTGAAGCCTTCGTCCAGAACAAACATAAATAAGTTTATGATTCACACACAAACAGTTTCCTTTTATCCTGTGCATGTCATAATACTCCCCGAGAACTCCGCTGACAACCGACGCTCTATCCAGGGCCTGTGATGGTGAAGAACGATTCACCTGTTCGGAGGAACTGGGCACTTGACAGCAGTACCTGAACTATCGTCAACCACACCTGGCGTCTGTGTTGTGACTTAGCTTTGAAATTATACTCGAGGTGTTGAGAATGTAAATGTGTAAATACATGCATATTATTGACTTGATGCATATTATTCGTACCCTCTATGTCGCTAATAAAGTGAAAGTGATCAATGGGTCACTAACACCTGACAGAACCTATTACAGATGTTCTGATAATTCATAATTATGGTAATGATGGTGCCATGAGAGTGGTGTACGTAACACTGGGCCTGAACTGACATAACCTGTACTCCTTCAACTAACAGTATGTTGATATCCATAACAACTACGCATGCACTTATTGAACAGCGCACAGATTAGATAAAGATAATATATTCTCTGAGTACAAATATATTTTTGTGTGGTTTAAATAAGGTTCGGTTTAGGTTGATTTGGTTAAGATTAGTTTGTTATGCTCCTTCGTTTTCTTCTTCTCCACTTATACTGTTACTTGTCTCAGAAACATTGATTTGTGCCAGTTCTTACTTCCTCGCCTCAAGCCAAACCCACCTGCCAGGACATTGCGTAAATCTGGTTTGGTTCAGTTGTCTCTTGATGGTAGTCGGACATCTCTCGCCCTTAATTAATAAAATAAATAAATCTTGCATAAATCTTTGATAATCCGGAGCCTCAGATTTACACGTTAATGACTCAGTTAAGGTGAGGCAGTAAAATTACAACGTCATTAACCTTGATGTTACAATAGGACTCTACCCTAACAAGTGGTTTTCTTATCTGTCGCAGGGAGAAAAATATTTACGTAGGAACCTCTGAGAAACTGGTCCCGGCTCCATTATCGAGAGTCCCATGTTACGCCAAGTGCCACTGTTGATTTTCACAACTCTCCATCACCAGAGTCAACAT